ATGTACCACGAACACAGAAACAACAAAAGGAAACAAAACAAATAAAAACTTCCAGGAAGAGCACTTAGTCGGCAGATGTACCACGAACACAGGCCGCGCGAACAATGGCCGGGCTAACAAAAGCCGGGCGAACAAAGACCGGGCGATCGAGTGGTCGATGAGCACGTCCGCACGTGACGGGTGCCTCTATCGGAATGACAAACCTAATTGCAACAAGGTATTGCGGTTCTTTCGGTTTTGGTATACATTATTTTATAAACCCATTAACCTGGTCGTCTCTTGGAGGTCTGTTGTCGCGGTAGCTCTTCGAATGTGATTGTAGATTTGTTGTTCGCATTCACCGTCTGTCCCAGCATCGAGGACACGGTCTCCTCCAGGTGCTTCGAAACTATTAAAGATTTCTTGTCCAACGCTGTACCCTGGTAAAGGAATTAAAATAGATGGTTGAGAATAAAATTTACAATATATGGTATTAAATACGGAGTTATATAAAGAATTCTTTGACATTGATACACAGAAGGACTTCTAATCCGACCGGTTACTGAAGCTCTTACACAGCATGACTCTGACCGGTCACTACTTCTCATTCTGCATTACTTCTCTATCTGCTACGAAGTAATCATATGCTTCGTAACGAAATACAGTACAGCCTAGAGCACGAATATTTAATCAAAGAGGAATTCGCAGATGCCTCTCAGTTTTCCTCACATATTTTTGCTTGCCTCACAACTTAGAAGTAAACTAGGTTCAAACCTTATATACCCTTTGCAATCTAGTTTCGACTGACATCAAGAAAACCGATCTCTTCTACCGATTTCTACATACAGAACTCACCATATAAGGTTCGTAATATTGCGTTGCTTCCGCATCCGTGGTCCCCAGACAGAGCCGTGGTCGAGCGAACGGGTTGCCCAAAACGCTAAGTCCTAATACCAGCACGTGGAACTGCTGCACCAGCTGGATCCAGTAGTGGCGCTGGGCCAATGAGAGTAACGCCGATCCTGATATTGGCGCGTTTCGAACTTCTAGATATGACATCCTAGAGAGATAAAGATTTAACAGTTATGAGACTGTTACATTGTTTGCTGTAACGCCTTGCCCCATTTCCCCTTCTTTTTTTTTTTCGGGTAGAGTGCCGAACCTCCTACAAGGTCCCCGCGCAAAAGGGGCGCGCGGGGTATGTGAGACTCAACGGTCTGCATGGTTGCCCTATTTCCCCTGTTATAGGCTTTTTTTTATTGCCCTTGTAGGCAGACGAGCATACGGCCCACCTAATGCTGAGTGTTTCCGTCGCCCATAGATTTCAGCAATGCCAGGGACAGAGCCAAGCCGCTGCCTACCGCTTAATACTCTCCACAAGCCGCGTTTGAAGAAGGACATGTCATAGCCCTCGGGAAATACCGTCGAGGGGAGCTCATTCCATAGCCGGATGGTACGTGGCAAAAAAGATCTCTGGAAACGCACTGTGGATGACCGCAGTGGCTCCAGGTAGTATGGATGAACTCTACTCCGGTGGCGGGCGGTGCGATGGTTAAAACGAGATGCCGGTATCATCTCGAACAATTCCTCAGAATACTCCCACGAGCACATTGATTATCATCGTCTATCAGCTAATAATGTATTCCATGTTTCCAATAAAGATTAAGATACAAATTCCATTTACTGATTTAATCTCGAAAATCTAATAATAATTATTAAGCATTTAATGAAATTTGTAAATATTTCAACATTGCACAAAATTTCATTTAATTTGTTGCGGTCTCATTATATTTTTTTTAAAGGAGGGAGGATTGCTGATAGTCCATCGGTCTTTGTAAAATATGCCAATTTCTCCAATTACGTAAAAACATACGTTCCATTATTAACAACTATCAAAGCAGTGACATATTAGAAAAAAAATTATGACAGTAATACCTCAAAACAACATCCTTCATATCACAAAGCGAAGAACCCCATGAGTTGAATAGATATTCTAATAGATCACTATTGAATAATTTAGGCCTGTTCTCCTTTTTATTACCCAACTTCATCTGTTCTGGAGTAGCAGTAAATTCCGCTAGATATCCTCTAGAAGACAAACTCAAAGCAATCCTGACCGGCGATAGATGAACATATTCAAATATAACATTCTTCTGGTTATTGTTCTGACTTTTGGCAGCCACAATAGGTATCGGCATGTGCACTAAAGCCAGATCTGCTCTCAGCCTCACAGCTGGCTTCTCTTCCACCTTCCAATGGTTTAACAAATCGAAAACGTAATTTACGAAACCCCGATCCAAGTTCACGGAGTACTCCTGAAGGAGCAACTTTAGATACTTGTACACGTCTTGGTTTAGCGAGGGCCGGTATTGCTTCAGAGCCACGATTTCTAGGCAAGGTTTTAATTGATTCGACTTAACATCCGAAGGCAAAGGAGCCGGACAGAGAACAGTCGGAAACACAGCTTCTTGCAGCTGATTATCAATCTGTATCCTTTGGAATTTGAGATGTAAATATGAGTACGTGTCGGACTTGCGGAATTGCAACCACAGGCCCGGGTTATACGTTCGCTTCAACTCGGCGAAGAAAGGTTTCGTCATCTGCATCTTCTCCAAGTCCAAATGAATGTATTCTTTTAATTCACATTTGTTTTGGTTCGCGCTGTATTTATCTTCGATCCAAGCCGTCAAGTCCGGAGACAGCTGTTTCCATTTATGACTGACATTGACCTCCCATCTCGGCAAGGAGTCCGTGATACTCACGTACGCCAATTCCTTGACCCCGTGAATACTTTGAACGCACACAGATAAACTCACCCCAGAAAGGGACATGTAAACTTCATAATTACTCTTTTCAGCGTTAATTCTCATTCGATATTGATAGGCGATTCTCTCGTCTTGGGCCAAAGCAAACACTCGTTGATACCCGTCCATATAGGACGTCCAGTACACAATGACCTTGTCTTTTCTCATTTTCTTGGTCTTCATGAGGGCTTCAGGTAGATCGGAGCTGTCAGAGTCATCACTGCTTGAAGAGCAAGGTTCAGGGGATTTGGGTGTCAGTCGTTTTAGAGTAGACGATAGTTTGGAGGTCATGCTGTTTGTCGCGACCAGGGTGGAGTGTTTCACTGAATGGAAACTCACTTTTTCTTCTCCGTAACTGTATTGAAAAAATTGAAGCTGTAGTAAATAAGTATTTGAAAAATAAAAAATTAAAAATGTTTGAAGGTAATTGATTGATTGACTGATGGTATAATAACTAGGCTATGTTTCTTGGATTACTTGTTTGAATTCTTGGATTTTTTGGATTCTTGGATTACAGATCATCAATAAAAAATAATAAACTAAATTACTTCAAATAACTTTAACGAAAACCACTCCTACGATCAACACAATTTCAGTACTCTGTAATATAAAAGAAAAGAATGAAAGAGAAGATAAGCCATTTTGGAATCTCCCACTCACCCATCCTGTTCGAATTGCGCAATAAATCCTTTTCCCTTATTATTGTAGATGTTCCATAACAGTTTTCTGTCCTTAGAAGGATCATCCCACGTATACAACATCGATTGATACGGACTTAACAGGGCCACTTGACCGGAATCCATCTGTTAAAAGTAAATACGCGTTATGTTAAATTCAAATGTATGCTATCAATTACTTTGCGACAGAAACGGCAACGCTGGTTTGTCTTACAAAAATACATGTGTTTATTTAAATCGATTTTTCAACAAACCTGATGTAACTTGAGGAACAAATCATCGCATAGATTATCGATTCTGATTGGCGCATCACCAGCAGCATAGGGTCTAAACGTGATCGTAAAGGGTTTGTCCGTGCCACCGGTTACTTCCACCGATATCGCTGACTGAAATTATAAATTATAATGAACAATTAAATGAATACGTAAATAAATATCAAAACAGACTTCTAAGCTTTTAATATCAGTTTGGCTACGTTATATTTTTTTAACGTGAACCCTAAATACACATTATTTCATTTCAAAATAAAATCTTTAACGGCATACTAATGCTGAAAGTATTGCATTACTTAATATATTATATCACAAACACTACTCTCAAGCACGCACGACACGTAGGTACTAATTCAATTAACGCCAACTTTCCACTCAACTATTATAAGGCTTGTAATATGAAACTTTCGCTCAGTTTCCGCGTTGTAAACGAGAAAAGATGCTGCCGAAATTGGTTCTGGCTGCAATCGTGCTTTGCGTTTTCATTGTCGTAACATCTGGCGACAGAGGTTACTGCAAGAAATGTTTCTTCATACCAAACAGAAGAATAAAGCGTGGAAAGTACTATTCAAATCCTCCCCAGAGGTTCTACAGCCGGCCGCCAGTGAGTTTTCCTCACATTGGAGCGTTCTCCTATACCCCACCACCAAACTACATGGTTGAAGACGATTCACCGTACCCAGGCCCTCCAGGCTCCAGACCGTACAAGGTTAGTAGTCATCCAAACGAAGGTTTAGCAGATGAAGAGATAAATAATCTAATGAAGCATTTAACTAAACAAGATCTGGATAAAATTCTGGACTTTGCTAACGGTCAAAGGCAAAAAAATCAACCTCTCTATAAATTTGACAAGGAAAATAACAATTACATAAAGAAAGCTAACTTAAGTTTTTACAAAGCTGAAACTAATAATAATGAGGTATTTAGTAAAAATTATGACAACGAAGAAGAAAAAGAAGAAGCAAACCATTTATTCAAAGCCAATGTACAATATATTGATCAAAGCAGTGCATCAAACAGTCGACACCAAGAGCAAACACCATACAAATATACCGAAAGCATAAACTACGTTACAGAATCAATACCACAGAAACATTACACAGAAATGTACAAAATGAATCCTTCGGAAAGTGAACAAAGGATAGTCAACAAGCAAATCAATTTTGATGATGCATTAGAGACAGAGTTAGCAGATTCCGATACGAATACAGAAAATAGATTTTCAGAGGCGAGCTTTATGCCAAAACCTCTTAATCTAAGAGAAGAACAAGATTTTTATGGTTCTTTTACGAATAATGTACCTAAAGTAGTTCCGTCTGAGTCGTATAAAGTTGAAAGCTTCGGTGACCTACCGCTAATGAACTACAATTCTAAGTTAGATTCAGTTAGTTCATACCACGTACCACACTATACGGTAAGTGTTGTATATTTTTAAAATTCAAGGTCGACTTAATTTTTTGCCTATTTATAAAAACAATAATTTATCAACCTAAAAGCGAAGTAAAGAATAACATATAAAGTATATATAATAAACGTTTCAATAGAACAAACTATTTCCTCTACGTTCGTCGCTCCCGTGATGGAAAGCAGAATCTAACACTTTTGAAACAAAACTTTTGGTAGGCAGCGGCTTGGCTCTACCCCTGGCATTGCTGACGTCCATGAGCGACGGTGACCACTTACCATTAGGTGAGCCGTATGCTTGTCTGCCTACAAAGGCAATAATTTTTTTTTATCCCATTTCAGGTGACGACATCATCAAAACACGGCGCCTCCTCATCAGGATCGTTGCTCTCGTCGTCATCATCAATTAAAGGTCCACCAGTTGAACCAGCACCACCAGTTTCAGCCGGTAAAGAGCAAAGTGATGCCCATTTAAAGGCGATCAAAATTTGGTCGCACAAGTCAAGAGGTGCCGCCTATACTTTGCATGATGATGGTACATTATCCATAGAGAAACCTACCCGACCTAAGGGAAGTTTTGGCTACCCTTAATACCCAAAGATAGATTAGATAACATTCGTTTTAAGTTGAACATTATATGTAAATTAGTATTAAATAAAACTTAACTTATTGTCGAAATAACTTAGTAAGTAAAGATTTTCATTAATGTATAATAACATTCGTTTTAAGGTAAACATTGTAAATTAGTATTAAATAAAACTTAACTTATTGTCGAAATAAATTAGTAAAGATTTTCATTATTGTGCTATCTTGTCAATAAACTAAGGTACGCATGTATTGTCTGAAGCTACCGAGGATGAGAGACATGAATAAATTTTTTGCTTCTTCTAATCTAATCTCGTGTTTATTTAATCAGGACCAAAGGAGTTATTATGACATGATAATATGTATAAAGAAGATCGGCTACATCATGCTACTCATATACAATACTAACTGATTATCCGTTTTCAGTATTAATATCGGATAATATGGCAATTACTATTAATTACTATCAAGACTAAAAATTTATAATTTTACAATATCCAGCTGTTGTAATAGTTTCGGAGTCGAAAAGAGTTATCAGCTATTTCGAAGATTCTTTTTTTTATTGTCTTTGTAGGCAGACGAGCCACCTGATGGTAAGTGGTTACTAATAGACCTCAGCAATCCCAGGGCAGAGCCAAGCTGCTGCCTACTGACGTTAGAGACAAGAAACCACACGAACATGTTTTAAAATATACAGTAAAACTCACCCCTTTATCCATCCTCAGTACTGTCATATGATTCTTCGTGATTGGGAAGTGCTGTGAGACAACATTCGAATCCCTGTACTTGCAGTGCATCGACATTGAGTCCGTTTGAGGCCAAAAAGGCGTACACTGTTGGGGGGCGAGGTCGAACCAGAGATCTGCGGCCTCGTTCTCCTCCATGAACCGGAGATGCCTCTTCGTGTCGTTGAAAACCAGGAAATACGGTAAGAGAGTCACTATCTTCGTCAATTGCGGACACAACTCTGATAAGGTTACCTAAATGGGACGCGAAGCGGATTATTACAATATTGTTAATCTCTATATATAAAAATGAATTGCTGTTCGTTAGTCTCGCTAAAACTCGAGAACGGCTGAACCGATTTGACTAATTTTGGTCTTGAATTATTTGTGGAAGTCCAGAGAAGGTTTAAAAGCTACATAAATATGAAAATGCTCGGAATTTAATAAAAATAACAATTTTGTTTTTCCTTTGATGTGTCTGCGTCGGACCGATTACTTTTGTTTATTTTAAGTTTATTTTATACAAAAGTTTAGGTCTTTCATTTATCGATTCAAGCACTACGAAGTGTGCCGGGTCATCTAGTATCCAATATATATTTTTGTAGGATAGATGTGGAGTCTAGGAGCTGACAGACAGACACGACAAAATGAATACCGCTTTTCATTTCGAAACATGACTTCGAAATAGCAATTTTTGTTAATCCAGTGTCTAATTTTCATGTAATTTCATAGACTGTAGCTAAGATGCACTAATGAGAACGCAACGTGAGAACTATCGCTTCGTTTGAATCAATATCATGAAAATAATTAAGATTCTTTCTCTATTACCGTCGATGAGCTGACAAACTAAAATTCCTTGTTAAGAACTAACTGGAACATAGATACATAGGCGGCACTGAAAATTTCGGGAATTAACGAAGTGACACAACATTACTATTTAAAAATGTATTTATTACTTTTCGAAGTATTCTCCGCGAAATTTGACACATTTTTCCATACGATGGAACCAATCATTGAAGCAACCATTCCATTCGGAAGTTGGGGTCTCCAAAATGGCAAAAAAAAGATTTTAATATGACAGGAACAGTGGAAATATTCCATTCCCGATACTTTTAGTGCAGCCCTCGTATCCCAACCTGCTAGGCTATATTAAAATGAGTAACTAGTTCGTACTTGTTGACTAAGTATTAGAGCATTTTCTCTGCATAATAAAAAGAAAAAAAATCTTCATCTATCTTAATCATTCGCTACTTGAGAAAATTACGATATGGATGTCAATTAAAACAAAATATAAGACTGAATTATTTTTATTATTTATTTATTCAGCTTCATGCACAAGGCGGACTTAATGCCTAAGGCATTCTCTACCAGTCAACAAAGTGTGGTGTACATAATCCTGTGGTAGGTGCATTACTTAATGCGAAAATAACCAAATTGATAATGATATTAAATACATATACAAACAAATACAAGGTACACATATATATATACACATATATACACATATAAATATGGATTATGTCTTAGAGCTTGTAATATCTTCTTCAAAAACAAAACAAAACTCTTACATTCATTAGAATCCTGTAGTTAGTCCTTCGTTCTGTATGAGGGCATACGACCAAGCCTGGTACCCCGGCGGCGAGCCTGCAGGGCCGGGACCACGCCGACAGGTGTGCGCGCACTCGGATCCGGGCACCCCTGCCCCCTGGCCTGCCCCCTACCCGACTCCGGACGCCCACCCCGTCCGACCAGAGCAGGGGCTCCTCCGTCAGCTCATACACGCTGTCCGAGTTACTGCTCTGCTTGGCCAAATATACGACAAATGTTACTGCTCTGCTTGGCCAAATGTATGACAAATGTTACTCGGGAGCTTTGACGGGGGTGTATATTATGACTGTATGATCGGTTAGATACAGAGTCCGTGATTTGTTGTGAATTGTAGGGTTATTAGTGTCTATACAGACAATAGCTTGAAAACCTTTTACCCACCTGAAGGTATAAGATTGAAGTTTCAGTTGTTTTGATATAAAAACTTTTCTACCATTGATAACGGTAATCATTATGATTGCTACAGACGTAAACAAGCTGGATGGTTTCCAGTAGCCGCTGTCTATATTAAATTATGTCATGCTATGAATAAATAATGTCATGTACATATAATACAATTGTCACAATTTACACAGTAAAACGTCAAGTACCTTCATCTGTAAAGGCAGTCCTGTCTTATTGATGAGCCAGTGCTGAGCGTGCAGGAATAGCTCCCAGCACTCCCCGCGCCGCACCCCCGCGCGCACCGCGTCCCGCGCCCTGCATCCCTCCCCCTCGCCCGTGTCGTTACACAGAGATATGTTCTTCTCTGTTAACTCTGTAGGGAATACATTCGTCCAGTGAGCTACGGAATCATTATGCTCAGGGCTTCTCTGACTGATAAATTTAGGAATGAGGTAATCCACAACACACTAAAGTATCGATACAGCTTATAGAATCAACAAGCTCTCTGTGAGATCGCTTCAACGGACATGGTCTTGAGCGAAGATAATGAATCCGGGAAACATACTGTGTAACGTAGCCTGACCAGTGTGCTTAGTGCGAATTTTTTAACTTCTTGATCGCGTAAAAGTTAAATCAAAGTTGTATGGAATTGGAACAGCGCCCATACATCATGGACATCTGAAATGTGTTCGTATCGGACGTGGAGATCCAAAACCCAGTCTCACTGCTGCTAATTAGGGGTCTTCTGTGCAGCGCACAAGTGGATAAGTATAGACTGATAATAATCTTGATAATTTTAAAATAAAGTTATATAACCGCCAGCAACAATATAGTAAACGTAGACATCAAGCCAAAAAGGAATCCTACTTTAAAAAAAACACTAACAGATTTCTGTAAAATATTCTACTTTTTTTGTGTGGCCAGAATTTCTATAGTCGTCATCGATATCTCAATCAAGACCCTAATTCCCAAAAACAAACAGTACATTCTCCAGTTAATCTGTTTCTGTCTTATATTCTACCTTTCAATTTATAAGATTCTTTACTATATTTTGTAATTGGTACTACTTACCTGATGACATAGTAAAACTGCCACACCATTCTGTTCCTTGATAGTGTAGCTTCACCGAAATCTTATGAGGCTTGTTAAGCTCCATGGTGTATACGTGCGTTCGATCGCCGGCTTCGATCCTTGCTGTCCATCCTATTTCAAGACAGCTCACTTCCAAAGCATGCGGAAGTCGGTTGTACACCGCGAGCGGCGGGACAACTCGGAGAAGGTAGTTCGGGATCAGACGGTTTATTTTCGGGGATTGGCATCCTGGTAAATCAAGCAATAAAATCATTCAGCATCATCAAGCTATCATCTAAGCAATAAAAAAAAGATGTGTGGTATCGTGGGACACCGGATAGGAATGAAGTTCCTTATTATAAAAATATTAATTTTATAAATATAAATTTACAGAAAATAAAACTGGAGGTTTCGCAACAACCCACGGTCATCCGGTAATTTACGAACTTATTGTTACACTTCATTCACGGTTGTTTGTATTTAATAAGAGTTAGTGTATTGCGCAAATATACGCTCTGAGATCATGGTCAATGAATGATAAAAAAATATGTTATTTTTTGTACGTTATTACAAAGTTAAGTCGTACACTGTGTGCATTACTAATAAAAATCTTACGTTACGGACGTTTTTTCCCGGTTAAAGTACCCCTCCACATCGTCCCATAAGGAACTTCGTTCCAAAAAATATGTATACAGAAAGCGTATTTTAACACGTTGACTGCAGAACTATTTTTGAAGGACTTTCGGCCAGTGCGTATGACCTTTTCGGGGCAGCTTTGGACTTCTTTACAATGCGTATGTGACCAGATGGACTTCACCAAAATGTCCATTTTTAATATTTTTAGTCGTAGCTATTTTATGGTCGCATGTTATCAGTCTTCACAACCGCCATAAGTTACGGGTGTCGCGGAGCAACACTGTTGAATTTGTTCAACTACATATTCATTCAAATCTTCAAGCGCATAACCTAATACTTTGATTCACTGCACTAAATATTTTTATACTATATATTTATAGCTTAGGTGGGTGAACGATCTCACAGCCCACCTGATGTTAAAAGTGATTACCGGAGCCCGTAGACAACGTAAATGCCGCCTCGAGATATGAGTTGTAAGGTCTCCGTTTTAACAGTACAATGTGAATCAAAAGTTTAAAAAAATCGTAACTAAAAAGACTTCGTCGATCTTCCTACCTTCAACAGTGAGGATCCGCATGGCAAATATCATGTCATCTTTGTTTTCATCTATGGCAGGGCACACCATATCTCGCGGCGTACCAAGATCGTTGGCCAGTTCCATCCACCATATACCTTGAGTGGCTGTCTGGTATCGCCTTCATAGGAATAGTTTCTCGTGTTAATACCACGCTAACGGATAGGCATATTAACAATGACAGTGTCCGCACTCTTTGCTACGACTAACAAAAGAAACCCGCTCATATGTCCAGATGATTCGCGAGCTAACCTCATGAGTTGAGAACAGTGAATGATGGTACAAAGCTTCAACTAAGTTGAGAAGAAGACGCGCGACAAATGAATGAACCAGTAACAAACAAACAAACCGTTGTAACTAACTATACTGAGACTTTAGACTTTGTATCTCAAGGTGGGTGGCGCGTCTACGTTGTAGACATCTTCCTATAGGCTCCAGTAACCACTTAACACCAGGTGGGCTGTGAGCTCGTCCACCCATCTAAGCAATAAAAAAAAAATGCAAAATTTAACGTTATTTTTACTTATTTAACTGAATACCTATTATTACATCGCCAAACTAAAACAGAGATCCGCTCAAGTTATTTATTTTCCAGATATATTTGACTCTCTGAACAGTACCAATAGCCCTGAATGGTTCGAAATGTGTACTCACTCGAAGTTGGAAGGCAGTAGAAACAGTTTGCAGTGGTACGCGATGTACAGGGGAACATTGTAGGTATCTTGCGGCGCGATTACGCATAGCCTCATCTTGTCGTCGAATGGATTCTTCAGGGACCCAATGAGGTCCACACCGACAGCCTCAAGATCTGTTTTCTTGTAAAACAATTCTAGAGCGTAAGCTGTTTCATTTCGGACCTAAAACAATACTTACGATTTATTTTACCAGCATTTATTAAAATGTCAATTAATATTAATAATAAAATCATTTATTGTCTTTCACACTAAATAAAATAAAAGATAAATAAAAGAAAAGAAAAAAAGGAAAAGACAAAAGGAGGTGGCTCAGCTAATCCTATTAATTAAAGTTCAGCAGGTAGTTGTTTCTTTTGGAGAAGTCACAATGATTAGGCACCAGTGTTGTTCAATTACTAATCTTATCTTGTTATTAATATGGTACGCGGTGTTATATTGTAAATCGCACGGGCAGGCACCACTGTCTAATTCTAACAGCGAAACAAACGAGCTTATAAGTTCGTAGAAGAATGTAGGGACTACACCATCATTATCCTGCCCTTCTCCCAGTCACCTGGCGCAACATGTTTTCTCCTTCCGTACACTTTTATCATATACCATTTCTTTCCCATCTTACCCATATCGTCTTTCACGCAATCCATCCATTTCTTCTTAGGTCTACCTCTTCCTCTATATCCTTCCACATTCGTAGTTGACATTCTCTTACCAACCTCATTTTCATTTCGTCTCATCACATGTCCATACCATCCCAAACGCGCACTTCTCAGCTTCTCTGTCACAGGTGCAGCTTTCAGACTTCCTCTAACATATTCATTCCGTATTCTATTCGTCTATTCCGTATTGTAGGGACTACATATTATTATACACCCATATTATCTACCAATGTATATTATATAAGGGACAATTATATTACAGCGATGCTAATGTTTTGGGATTGTCGGGCTGACGACTGACCAATGTGTCTCATTAACTTTACCCGACCACGAGGCTCCACAACAATATTAGAGAACAAATGAGAGATAACGAAAGGGCTGATTTGAATTAAATGTTCATTCTTTGGTATAAAAGACTAGAGATGCGAACTTACCTGTAGAGGTGACCGGACCACTATCTTCCGAATGTTGTACTTTGATGACCTCTCCACGACCACGTAGTACCGGGTGCTGTTCTTGCTCGGATGGAGCACGTGCAGCTTGGTGGCTGTTCTTTGCGGGCAGAGGATCTAACAGAAACAATCACATTTATTACACAGCCTTATTAGTGGAAGAAAAATCCTACACAGTGTCCGATATACAGATAGATGATTTTTCCATTCGAATTGATCGAATTGCATCCGCAAATAAACTAATTTCAATGACACAATCTATACTAATATATCATAAATCTACAGTGGTTTTTACGGATGTTCCGTTATACTACTGAACCGTGCATCCGATTAACTTGAAACTTGGTATCCATATAGAAAATACATGTACTTAATGGATAGACTAATATTTAGATGAGTGTTGGACTCCCGAATAATAATGATAATAATTAATAATATTAATTTTAAATGCCAAGCGAAGCGGGCGAGTGCGTTTAGTATTATCATATACTCGTCTGACAACTTCTCAATCATATACTCGTCTAAGATATTTCAATAATTTGGATGGCCATTGTTAGCTGCTCTAGAATACTACTTTACTATGTTTATCGGGATCTGCATTGCTTTTAACTAGGAATCGTGCATTTTAAAAGGACAACAACAAATGCGTTTTTATTAAACAAAACCCAAATCCTGCATATCCGAATACTCACAGTCAAATTATCGAAGTCGTGCATCTTGATTGTAAGTGTGAGGTCTGTGAGTTTGGTGTGCAGTGTGTGCGGCGAGGCGGGGGGCGGCGGGGAGAGCGGGGGGGCGCTCGTCCCGCACAGCTCACCGCCCGGGAAGCCGCCTTCGAAGCTGAAGTATACAGTATACCGTGACGTCCGGTGTTTTCTATGGGCTATAAACCCTACCACCAATTTTAAAATACGTACATAATATAATATTTTTGTTTTCACGAACGATTCCATTATTTTTACTATAATAGTTTGTTTGATAGGCACACAGACATACGCGCCCCTTACAGTGAGCAGTTGCCATCGCCCATGGACATCCGCAACGCCATGCGCAACCAAGCCGCAGCCTACTTGCAACAACACACTTCCAATACTCATTATAGAATGAACATAATATCATCATATTTTTCAACGCATGCTTCCAGTGCCCCTCAGTTCGTCCTACGTTATTGATGCCTATGGTATTACAGGTGTTTCACGTATTCCATCCAACACGGTCCGTTAGCATTATCAACTGCCACTTCGAACTATCATTTCGAAAGTGTGATGCCGATGGCTAAGCCACCAGTGTGATTAGTGCGAGTTTTTTAACGTTCTCGATGTCGTAAAAGTTAACTCAAATTTGTATGCAGATGGAACAGCGCCCCTAGTGGCAAACGTAAGCAAACGTATTTGTTAGCGAGAGTTAGAGTTAACTTTTACGCTATCGAGAACGTTAAAAACTTGGCACTAAGCACACAGAAGAGCTCCGAGCTTCGCGCTTGTTTATCTATAGATAAAGTTCGAACAGAAAGTCACCAATTCCATTCGTCGGTTATTCCGTTGTTGTCAGGCTTCGATGTTAGTGGAGCCTCGTTCAGTAGTTCAGCTGCTGACGTATCACAACCTGAACAAAAATATCACTGAAGTGACGTCTAGTAGGTTACAAGAGAAAGCTCCATATCTAACAGAAAATGGTAAACCAGAAAGATGGCAGGAAATAACGGTGTGAATATTAATAATGCAGGCAAATTCACAGAAGAAGTTTAAGAGTGAATACAGTTATGAAGTCCAATCAGATGTAAGCTCGACCTTCCGTTTCAGATTCTCTCTCTGGCTTACTAAATTTAATAATATATTATATTTTATGAACAGGATTTTAATACAGGAATTTCAGTTATTATCCCAATCATACCTGGCGTGCTGGGTCGACTTGTGTCTACGTCATAATCCGCTATGGCTATAAGCCTGTCGTTGCCGGCCAGATCTGTTTCGGACCGTGTCTTCAAGTGTACTGTTGACCCTGGACCTAACAACGATTACGTAATTTTGGAATCACTAATAAAATTTCGTTAAATTTGTCAATTCAAGTAATCCATTTAATCCTATTTCCACAGATTACAGTTAGACTTCTATAGAAGATATGAAACACTTTTATTTTCCATGAGAATTATACCGTGAGCCTAGCCCACAAACCTAACTATTTCTGCAATGAAGCAGTCAGACGATCCAATTTGCAGGATGAGGACAGCCGTTTTATTATTGTGATTTCGACCTTTATACCAAAAGGTTTGTGGTGGCATTCACGTGTATGGGCTTCAGTTATTAATTAACAACAGGCTGAGTAAGTACGCGACCGAGTCACCTTCCTACTCGGTCGACTCTACCCTATGATCTGCAAGTGAAGTCAATTGTACCTTCATAACAAGATGACACTCTACAAAACTTGCATACGTTCCGTCATGACCTCTGGAAGTGCAGTGTTCGCTCACGCGGCCCGTACACACATAAACTCTCTCCAGGACATCCAATACCGTTTCTGCAGGATAGGACTTCTACTGGTGGTAGGACCTCTTGTGAGTCCGCTCGGGTAAGTACTACTACCCCGCCTATTTCTGCCGTGAAGCAGTAATGCGTTTCTGTTTGAAGGGTGGGGCAGCCGTTGTAACTATACTTGAGACCTTAGAACTTATATCTCAAGGTGTGTGGCGCATTTACGTTGTAGACGTCTATGGGCTCCAGTAGTCTATGGGCTCCAGTAACCACTTAACACCAGGTGGGCTGTGAGATCGCCCACACACCTTAGAAAAAAAAAAGCCTTTGGGACACCGTGGTTAAGCCCGTGAGCTCATCTACTGCGGAGCTGTAGCCCCTTACGCTACCAGCGAATAAGCAGGGAACCTAAGCATGTCTTAGGAAATAGAACTAGCGAAAGTTTTAGTGAATTTCACTAAAGAGTGGAAGACTCTTCCTCACCTATATCATTACACAGCACAGTCCCACTGTCGGCGACGATGGCAGTGACCACAGCGGTGCGGTCGGTGCACGCGCTGCCGAGGGCCAGCAAGGCTCGCGCTCCGGCTGGACTGATCGTGATGTTCAGCATGTCTTTGGCTTCAAATGTGATGTAAGTGCAGGTCTTCTCGGCGAAACTCTCAGCTTCGAGACCGGAATCCACGCTGTTCTCTCGGACCGGGTCCTGGATGAATTAGAGAAATCTAAGTCTTTTTAACAACTACATTGCCTGTGCAATAATCGCAATGGCATATTGACAATCACTGAGTATAAATTTCCAGTGACTCCCAACGACTATTGGCTGTCACTAACATTTTGTATACATGATGGCTTCTTTGGTCTACTGTTTCAATAACAACTACCAGCCCCAATGTAAAAGCCCTTGCCAATACCTTAAGTTATACAGCACGGGGTCCCAATTCGGTTCCCAGATAGTCACTATGTTTGTAAAGATATTTAAGATTCGGGGTGTCTAGCTTGGTCTTTAAATATTGAAGATTTATTTAATTTAGAACTTTTGGACAAATTACACTATAAATTTTTTTGATATTTCTTGAAACGGACCTGTAGGGTAACACTTTTTCTCTCAGCTTCCTTTTTAACCTTGACCTCGCCATCAATGAAGGTCACAGGCTTGTCTTCATCATCGTGATCACTGACTTCCACTTCGCTCTGCTCGTGAGCTGAAGAATCCTCTTCATTACTGAACTCTTCAGCACTGGAGTCACTGTGAGACAAAAAAGAAAATAGTTTCGATAGATTATAGCTTCGAACTAGAATGAAGACTAACATAAAATACTTTGCGATTTATTCTTGCATTATTGGAAACTTCACATTTTTTGTAGTCATTCGTCCGTGTCTATGAAAACTGTAGTGTTCGTAACTTCGGAAACATTAAAATGAAAACATAATTACAACCAGCTGACAGTTTATCTCGCGTTTCAAGCATTGAAATAATGGTTTCAAGACACTACCATAATGCTTTTAACGTTATGGACCGTAACAAGAAAACTATATAGTGCGATTATTATATTTTAATACAAAAATATTATATATGTTGATTCTTAGGAATGTTTCTTCTGAGGTACCTTCTATAAAAAAACTTTCACGCATAAAATAACCATTATTTGGTAACAATCAAAATTGTCGTTTTAAAGATTAAGAGAATTTGTATTCTATATTAGCGACTCTGATATCGGTCAGTAATTATTTATTAAGTCATAATATGGTCGTATATATTTTATTTTATTTTTTATAGATTGACCTGTTTTATATGTACACTCGTATATACTAGAGTTCGATCATGTTCGCTGACACCTCAATATTTAGATTAGTTTTATTTGAACAAACATGAATTTACAAGATTGAGTCTGCTAATTAATACTTATACTTAATTGTTTCGAACATTATTTACCTCTGGAAAAAGACAAAAATATACACAGGGATTCATATAAAAGTGACATTTGAGATTGATCCGAGTTTTTTCTCTTGACACCGATGCTTAAAATTAAAACAGTTTAATTCCGCAGCCACTTACTCAGTAAACAAATGTCCGAACGCCGTGGTCAACTTGTCCATCAAGCCACCCTCGTTATCTGAATCCGATTCATCTCTGTCCAGAACTCCCAAGAACGACAAATTCCCGGCGTTGAAATCCACATTGTAGTGCTTACTCTCTCTCCCTTGAGGATTCCTGATGAAGGTCATCTCATTGTCCGTGTCGCATTCGTCAGCTGAGGTCTCGGATTCGAAACCTGATCTTTTCTTGGTTTTCTGGGGTTTGGTGGCAAACGGGGAGTCGCATTCTGTTTCCGTTTCCGAGGCCTCCAGCCGCGAGGACATTGGGTAAGCTTTTGACTGGAAATTGAAGGTTTTTATAACAATTGTTTTTAACTACCAAGTACTTGAATTTTCTTTGTCTGTTAAATAATAACAGTCTTAATTTTGTTGCATAACGCCTACCCTCGAAACCATAAATTTGGCTTTGGTCATAAATAATAGGCAGTAGTGAAGATTCATGACATTCGTAGGAAAGTATTCATTCTTTTATAAAATAGCCATGAACTATAATGTTTTTCCGACGTCCTAAACTGTAAAACGCACAAAGTTACAATAATTAAAGAAACTTTATTACGCTTTAGCCACCTGTCACTAGTAGGAACATAATAAAGTAGTTACATAAATATAAACTCTCTTTAATAAACTTTTTACTGGTGGGAGCACTTCTTGTGAGTCCGCGCGGGTAGGTACCACCACCCTGCTTATTTCTGCCGTGAAGCAGTGATGCGTTTCGGTTTGAAGGGTGGAGCAACCGTTGTAACTATACTGAGATCTTAGAATTTATATCTCAAGGTGGGTGGCGCATTTACGTTGTAGATGTCTATGGGCTCCAGTTATCACTTAACACCGGGTGGGCTGTGAGCTCGTCAAGCAATAAAAAATAACATTAATAATAATAATACCTGAAACAGAGTGGCTCTGATCTCCCAGGGTCTATAGACATTCTCGTCCACGACCACGGGTTCGATCAGCGGCTCCCAGACGTCAAGTCGCTCGTTGTAGCAGGTCGCGTGTATAGACGCCGCGGCCGTGCCGTGAAACTGATGCGACCAGTTATACAGCGACACGTCTGCTGTGAGCTGGATGGAGATAAATGTTTATGTGGTTACTGGTGGTATGGACCTTACTGTTCTGGTCATAGTTATTCATTAGAATTATAAGATGGTTTTAAAAATGTCACGGAAAAAGCAAGTATTAAACTCTATATGTATTGCCAGTCTCACGTCGCCTCAACTTGAATGAAAGCCAACATTTACAAAAAATCTTTATCCAGCGGATAATGTTCACGAATGACTTCGACGAAGAAATAACATCGTGTAACAAAAATCAACCTTCAAAAATCGATAAATTCACATAATTACTGGTAATAGGGCTTATGAATAGTAAGCCTGCACCATTTAATATTCTGCCTACCAGTGCCACAAAGCAGTCGTTAATTCCAATTAGAAAGGTGGGACGGAATTAAAATAGTCTAAACTAAACTTCAACCTTATGACTCAATGACGCACGTGTGATGTCTACGGGCTTCGGTAACTACTTAACACCAGATGAACAATCAGATGGTTCACAACATGTTCACTCTTTAACTAAAAAACTCAAAATACTTCCTCAGATTAGTGACGGAGCTAATATTATAGTATCTATAGTCTTCGGTAACATTCACACAAAAAAAAAAACAATTGACCGCCCACTTAGCCTTAGATATGTTTATTAACTTAGACTGTTAACGGCTTTCAATCTGCACGACTAGTTTCAATTCACAAGGACGAATGTGGCTTCAAAACCTCACCTTAACCATAATGACGGGCAGTCTCACACTATGTTCCATCTCAAACAAGATCCTTACAGAAGAAACAGTCATTTGGAAAGTTTCCGTGGGCTTGGTTCCGGTATACTGTGGCTGGACGTAACTATCATCAGACTGTAAGGTCAAGTATGGAGTCAACTTCTTTGGAGACCAGAGGTCTTCGTCTTGCTTCTCTATCTTAGTGTTATAGGTCGCAAAGTTGAAGAGTTCTTTCTCGTCAGGCACAGTAAGTTCTGTTGTAACTTCTTCAATAATGTCTAAAAACGTTAAAGTAATTAATACGATCTACTTTTTAATAGGTCACATGAATTATTTATATAGAAAAAATTAAAAGGGCGAAAGATGTAAATTTGTGTAAAATGTGCCCTATTTTCATAGATTCTGTACCATTAATAGGAGCAGAAGGTAGGACCTAGGAAGAGAAACACGTGCCAAGGTCGCAAACTGCCCAGGCATGCAGCAACAAATAATAATGAGCAGCAATATGTAACAGCGATTAATGATTATGAGAGGTGTAATTTCGGTATCCCTTTTTGTTCTCGTGTAAGTTTTTACTGGAGCAACCTTAGCTCTATTACCTAGAACCAATGCGCTCATCCACAATGTTTCTAAATGCCTTGCTCTCGCGTACCATTATGCTCTGGATAAGCTTTAATCCAGTGTTTCCTGAATTACGACATTACGTATTTTTGTAATGTAATGAGGTGTATGTTATAGAGGGCTGCTGGCACCCTTGAATTTTATGAGCGACGTCGACAACTCATCAGGAGAATGGTATAAGTAACTATGTTTAAAAACAATAAAATAACTAATCCCGATGAGCTACATATAGCACTAAGAAGAAATAAACTTACCAACAACGGTATGAACTGTGGTAGCAGCCACGTGTAATTCTATCTCCGACATCTTAAGCTGAACCATGACGCCCTCTTCTGGATTCTTGAAGATCTTGGAAAACTCTACATCGCAAGGTTTCAACACCATTTGTGGGGGGAGATTTTTTAATTTGGACTGGAGTTTTGACATCATCTGATAACGACCAAGTGGATGAAAAGAAGAACCAATATTAAAGACTTTTTTAAAGAATTTTTTTTAAAATATTCTGGATTGAACTGAAGTATATCCATTTGGATTTTGCAAATTATGATCCACTACAAGTACATCTTTACTTACTAAAAATGTCTTCTCCCAATTTCGATTTAGACAAGTAAAGGGAATCCTAGTAGCCTAAAAAGCCTTTACCTGCAACCCAGCCAGTGACACGACCAGACTTTCAGAGTTCGAATGGCAAGAGTAGTCAATTAGCAGTTCGGTCCTCAACAGCAAGGCATGCCCTTCGGTCTTCGTGAGGTCTGTGAAGAACATCACTTCTGGCTGCCTCAACTGAATGGAGATAGACAAGCCCGGTGCTTCCTCTGTCACCGAATTTGCTGCAAACCGATAAGAAACAATTATGATAATAATTTCGAAAACTGAAACTGTTAATTTAAAAACCTGCCTGAGGTAGCATTATTAAAGAACTAGCTTTTCTTCGTCCGCGTGGAATAGTTCACAAATAATGCTTTATTTTAGAACAAATTTAGTTAGCATAAAAAACGTTTTAGTGAGCCAACCTTAACATATAGACATATGCTGTCGCAAACTTTTCTTTGGATATTTTAGGGGAACAATTCTGTCATACATTATTTTAGCGAAACTTTAACCGTTTCTGCAGCTCTCAAAAGGTAAAAATAGCCTCGATTTTGAAATATTCTTTACTGGTGCTCCGCTTGTATTGCTCTTAGCGTGATGTTCTATAGCCTATAGCCTTCCTCGATAAATGGGCTATCTAACACTGAAAGAATTTCAAATCGGACCAGTAGTTCCTGAGATTAGAGCGTTCAAACAAACAAACTCTTCAGCTTTATAATATTAGTATAGATTTATAAAAGAATATGTTACATTTTGGCAAAACATCCTGAGAACTTAATTTTATATCGTCCAGTTCTTGTCTTGATGGTTAATTAAAAAATCCAATAAATTCTACTATAGAACTATGCGTAAATTAAGTTAACCTGTAGAAAAGTAACCGCTAGTGGAGTCACTGGAACTCGGGAACCTGGTCTTGTTGTTGTTTCCTGGCTTCGAGGGGTGAGAGTCGGCGACGTAGCCGTGGTTCACGACCCCGCCATCCATCGTTTTTTCACCTGGCAATATTAGGATTTTAGACAACATACATCTCTAATGCATTAAAGATTCAGCGGTTGCAGGCATTTTTTTTATTTTTTTATTGCCCTTATAGGCAGACGAGAATACGGCCCACCTGATAATGAGTAATTACGGTCGCCCATGGAGGTCAGCAATGCTAGCCAAGTCGCTGCCTACTGTTAAAGCTTCAAATCAGATCGTATAACTGCTCCATCACAGAAATATCACATGTATAGGCTTAGTCAATTTATCGTTTATGGAATTAAACTAAAGAAGAGCAAAATCAAACATTTGTAAAGGGTATTTAATTATTAGCAATAAAATTTAGATGAGTCCAGTGTCATCTGGTTTGCAATAACACTAGTTATGCCTATGGACACATCCAGTGAGATACTTTGACCCTAATTTTCATCATAATTTGCGTAGGAAGCTGGACTCTCGTTACTGTATCTATGTCTGCAATTGCATCTCAAGATTGTCAGCTGCATTGCCTATAGCCCCTAGGAAAGTAAGGCATACACACCTGGCAAGGCGAGAAGCAAGGCACGTGCCAACGTGAGCAGGAAGGGTGCCGCCAAGTTGAGTCTGGTGCGATCGAGGCGCAGGTCGAGATGACGAGCCCCGCCCGCCGCCCGCGCGCACACCTCCGCCAGCGCCGCGCGACGCACCACCACCCCCGCGCCGCCCTCCCCGCATCCTCCCTCACACTCGAAGATCCTACAAACCGCTCGACTAACTTACCTCCTATCCCACGATCCCCCAATAGGTCAGGCTACTTCGATATAGTTTAGAAAAATCCAAATGAGATTCAACGTTAGAATTTCCTTTTGTAATTAGTTACTGTTGGTTATTCCTCGTACCTATACTATTTCCTCGCTCCAGAGCGATCGATTGCGGTTCCTACGTACCATCAGATCCAGACCGCGGGTAAAATCAAATCCTTAATTGTATCTGTAATACTTTACCATATTGATTTCATGAAAAATTATTGGTTAACTAAATTTAGTTGTGTTTATTCCATTAAACACTCCGAACCTTGGAAATAAAGCAATTCGGAGTACTATAGATTATTTGTTCTGGAGATAAATTTTCAGCAAATGAATCTACCAACGACCGGAGTGAACTGGGCTGCAGACCAAGAGCTACTTACTCTGAGTTAGTTTAGTTTGGCTGGCACAGCTGAGGTACATACTTGCGTGCAGAACGCAGATGGAAAATAAACTATGTGAATTAGCTAAGAAACTATGTGAAGCCAAGCTAGTTATAGAAACCAACTCGTTGCTGGCATCTTCCTTCATCTGGCACACCCCTTTGACTCATTTTATAGTCAAACTAAACGATTTGCTCAACATTAAACTTAGCTCTTGATTTGTAACTGACTATACAACTTATACTTAACTTTTTTTTATTTTATTTTTATTGCTTAGATGGGTGGACGAGCTCACAGCCCACCTGGTGTTAAGTGGTTACTGGAGCCCATAGACATCCACAACGTAAATGCGCCACCCACCTTGAGATACAAGTTCTAAGGTCTCAAGTATAGTTACAACGGCTGCCCCACCCTTCAAACCGAAACGCATTACTGCTTCACGGCAGAAATAGGCAGAGTGGTGGTACCCACCCGTGCGGACTCACAAGAGGTCCTGCCACCAGTAATAAATAATAAAAATAAAATAATAAAAATAATTAACTACGCAATTACTTCTCACAGACGGAATGTTTTGTGCTATTTCGGGGATCTCACTATTTAAATTGTAAACCTAATACATATAAATCGTTGAGGCAAAAGCCCACCTTTTAATAAGTACTGGTTCCGGTCTAATATCCTCAAGAAGTAGGCTCTGAAGGCTGGCATTCAACTCCAGACTTCCATCAGAAGAGTACTCTAGCTGCAGAGTCGCCTCACCGGCCGTCAGCTTGGCTAGACCGTGGTTCATATCACGTACCGGAGAACTCAGCACTTCATCCATATCAGAGAAAAGTTTTAGTTCTATACCTTCGAGAATGAATCTGTAAGATGCACATCAAATTATAGTCTGGTTTTGTTATCAATTCATTAACTATAATAGTAAATGAGGGACAGTGGCTTTATCAATAAATAATTTCAGAGGCTTAGACTTGGTAGAGCCCTTGAGGCAAAACAGCGATGCAGAATAACTCTAATGACACCTAAACATCATAGGTACTCGACCAGATTTTTTATCGTAACATATACAAACGTAATTATTAAGTCTGAGTTATTGAAATCAACGAATTTTCCGCCATTAGTTCGAAAAAAATTTAACACCTTTCGTTATGCGAGTTAAAAACGACTATCACCTGATATGTTATGCTATGCTATGCTATGCTATACTATGAGTATGTTCGTAAACGGACTTTTGCGAGGCCCATGTTGTCTCAGGTACACTATAAAGAAGTCCAACCTTGCCTCAAAAGAACTCATACGCGCTGCCTGAAAGTCCCTCAAAAATTATCCCACAGCCAGCGTGTTAACTAACAGACGACGAAACTTGTATTGGAACAGTTTTGATAAACATGAATATTATCGAAACAATTTTATACCTGACGACAGCTTCCTTCCTCACAGGTTCTCCCTGTGCGAAAAATTCTTGAAGTTTTTTGACGGATGCGTCAGTTGAAGAAGGATCCATCGGTGAACTGGGTATTAAGCTTCCTGCATATGGAGAAAAGGCAGTACCTTAACCTAAGTCAAAATAAGTTTTATCTATTGCTTTGATGTGTAAAGTATCTGACGGCCTCCCTGATGTTAAGTGGTTAATGAATCTCGTAGACATTACAACGTTAATGCCGCCATCCACCTTGAGACATGAAACTAAGTCTCAGGACGAGTCTATAATGACTTCACGGCAGAAATAGACCAGAAGGTGGTACCTACCCGTGTGGACTTTCAATACCACATACCACGAATAAATGAATTCTATTTTTTTTTATTAAAATAGTATCACATAGCATCGCACATATCAAGACTACAGCGGAAGGACCCCTAAACAAGTTCATAAGAAAGAACTCGAAGCAGGAGATTTGAGAGATAGAGAAGACGATCATCAGTAGAGATGGTCATAGCGATCATGACCACTCTGTCAAAGTGAAACGACTAAGAAGAAAAAAGAACTATTGTATTCCAACCTTCAAACGAAGAAGTATTTCAGGGTAAAAAAAACTCGCATTTGATTTTATCACATGAATTTGTTCTGACTTGTAACGACTTCCACGACTTCTTCATGGAAATCGTTAGTTATTTGTTGTCGAAGAGCACGTTTTCAACATTACGAATCCGAAATACATGTCTTCGTATCTTAAAATGATGTGTATGCTCCTGTTTAGTTACAAATCGGGTACAACCTTTGGGGGATCAGCTGTGGGCGTGTTTTGCTTACCAATATACCGTCCTTCGCTAAGGTTGTCGGTCCAGACAGCCAGGATTGTGGCAAGGTCATTCTGTCCTAGGTTGAGGCTGAGGGCCTGCGTAGTGACGTGCGCGTTCAGAGCGAGCTGGTCCCGCGGAGCGCTCGCCACGCACCGCTCGATGTCACAGCTAACGCGGACCGGCTCCAAGATCGGTTCCTGCACCCCCAAAACCATCAAGGCATCACGCAGTCGCTTGCCATTACTTACCGAATATTCAAAGCGGTAATTTTTATTTTGACAAGTAAAATAGAAGATTCTCAATTTCAAATTAAACAAAGATGCAACACATTGTCATCAATCAATCATTTAACCTAAAAACAAAAAATAATAAAATGTTCACAATTCGGTATTTATTTTTATTTACGTTTCAAAAATTACGATATTTATTATTTAAATTTGTCTGTTAAAGCGTGAAATTATTTGTAGATATTTAATAGGACTACATCCTGGAAACTTGACGCATCTCAGCTTATGAAAGAAGACAATATTCTAATTTCGTACACATCATTTTAAAGTGGTAATTATAAGAGTATGTACTCTTAGTTTGGCCATTACAACCGTTCTGCTCAACGCTATGGTTTCCAAAATCTGCCAATTTACTACGGTGGATGGACCAACGCTCTAATTGTTGTAAGAAAAATGACTTGAAACTATTGCTGTCGCAATCCCGATTTTTACTAACGGATACAACTGAAGTTCCTTGATTACAAAATGTTAAATCATGATAAATAGACGTTACTTGGATTTTGGGAGCATCTAGACGTTTTTTTATATCAACATACCTGATCGAGCTTTTTTTTCATATAACATATCACATGGGGCTCATTGCACTGACCTGAACTTCCAAGGTTCCAGCGAGTGTCATGACAGCCCTGGAGATAGTCACGTTCACCAGCTTCATCAGAATATTGTCGATGACCGGCTGTTGCATGGGACTGCTCGCGTCTTGCACTGTCTTCATCTTCTTGAAGAAGTTCTCGATTTGAAGGTCACCTGCACAAAATAAATCATTTTCTAAGTTTACCACTGTACCATTGTATACCTAAAAGAAGTTCAAGATAAATACAAAACGAGATTCATCTCATTGGAGTTCGATAACAAAAACATTGCCCATAATGGACAAGTGACTAAAAAACTAGTTTGTAAAATGGAATCTTGGTAATCATCTCATTTCAACATCCTCAGGAAGTAATCTAATCATAATGTTTGTCTTCTCACCTAAATTGAGTACAAGGAGGTTTGGCGATGATGGCTTTTGTGGTAGTAGCAGTACTGGCGCGTGAATCTGTGAAATGACATGTTAATTGGTGGCCGTACCAAGAGAAAATAACAAACTATTTAAACGTTTTAAATGTAGAGTAAGCATCCTGAATGAGTAACAACAAATCAGCTAATATTACCATGGAAATTGCATACCCATCGTGAGCTATCTGGTTGAACAAATTGACCACTCATAAACGTATTTTCAACAACTAATCGTCGGGTATGTTCCGCGTGTGATGTTCATGACGACATGGACCTAAGAGATACACTACTAACGAAGAGGAAGCTAAACTTTAACGTCACTTAAAAAGAGATATATTATTCACTATCGCACATATGTACGTTGAGGGAGCACTACCCTCACGGATTGGTAGCCAAACTTGCATTTACGCAGCTCTATCTCGTCCACTCTAGATTTAGTCATGTTTTCCATAACCCCACAAATTGAAACAGTTCGATATACCTCAATAACCAAGTTGAGTCTTGTTGGAGCTGATCTCAGTTCCTGTACGTGTTTCTCCGCTGCTCGCTCCGCTGCATGAGCGACTTCAGAAGCCACCGAATTTGGTACTAACGGCTCCATGAATTGCTAGAATGAGTAAACAAATTCTTTGCACTTTATCGTTATCTGTTTTTATCTTCATCGCGTTACTCGATACTGCTTTATTTCAGAGGAATTGATATTGACTTCAGAAATTCTAGATGCACCAACGCTACTGCACCATTAAGTGTGCTAGCAAATGCTATTATATGTCTAGGAAGCTATAATGTGGCCAAGTCAAGAATATAGAAAGGTAATGATGAAGTTTTTTACCCGACCCGAATACCCCGACCCTCCCAGTTTCTGAGCCCGCTACCATATAATTCAGACATCGCTTTAATAAAGATGTGAAGAAAATTATCATAACATAGATCTATCTTTCCGCCCACAGACGTTCTCGGCTGGACACAGGTGTCCCCAAGCCTTGCCACAGCGACCGGTTGTGCGCTGCCTATATCCAGTGGATCCCGCGACCTTATAATAATAAATCAATTAGTCTGGTAAGAGCGAACCTGCAGCTGATATATCAAGCAGCAGAAAACCACAACATGGAGCCTGCCCACGTACATGCGCAGCTCTCCGTGCGCCTTGATGTCATCATGACTCCCATAGACTCGCGGGGCGCAACGTACGTACTTCACTTCCAGAACTTTATCCTCATCAGGCCACACCAACTAAAATAATTTTAATATATCAGGATAATAGAATGTAAAAAAGTATTCGGTTTATTAGAAGTAATTAAAAGTAATTGTAATCTGCCGAAATGATGGTTAAGTTGAGAACCTTTTCTAGAATAAGTGAAAAGTGACAGCATCCTTCGCCAGATGATATCTGTTAGTCTCGATGCGACACCCTCCCTATTTCAGGTGAAATTTCTAGCATACCTTGGCTACATACAAGCCTCGTTTGAAAAAATAAATTCTATAATGTCCGAAAATACTCAGCAGATGAATACGAGTCCTTGTTTAACTTACCTTAGGGTACAACGTGGATTCAGACAAGTCGTCAAGCTGCAGTGAGCTCAAGAAGAGCTTGAAGATCATCCGGTCGTTGGCTCGGAATACACAGTCGCTGTCGAAGCCAGTCAGTTTGATTTCCAACAACGAGCAGTCCAAGTGGCACAGCTTAATGGATACTGATGTGGCTCTGTTGAAAAAAAAAAACACTAAATGATAAATCGTCCATTCTACTTTAATCCTCCTCCTCCGTGCGTCATGTTCCTCAATGCTGAGTGAGGGTTGTGAACTTTACGGAGGACTTTTGTTAGGACTATGTTCTTCCATTGCTTCCTGTCCTCCGCGCAGTGGATAGCGACATTGATGCTGGAGTCCGAAGTTGTCTTGATCTGATCGGACCTGCGCAAAGAACTACGCCCCCTAGGCCTCTTTCCTTCCACTTTACCGGTAATGAGTAGTCTTTGGAGATCGTCACTTTTTCTCGCAATGTGACCGAAAAACTCGAAAATCCTACGTAGGCAAGTGGTGGAGAGCATTGTGGAGACGCCTAGTTCTTCCAGGATTGATACGTTTTTCCGATGTTCCATCGAGAGAATCCGTAGCATTTTCCTCCAGCACCACATCTCAAACGCGTCCACCCGACTTCGATCAACCTTACTTTACTTCGATCAGGCGTACTTTAATCAGGTAATGCCATTTTAACGTGGCTCCACTTCCGCTACAACAACAGTGTACATGGTGTCAATCGGCAAAGATAATTAAATATCAAACCTGACTGAATAGCTGAACTTGGTGGCTCCAGGCGGCACGGGCGGATCCGTCTCCGAGCTCAGCAGGTACTTCCACAAGGACATTGTTTGCGGGACCATCAACTTCTTCAAGTTTATTGCATGTCTAGTTTGGATTCTGCGGAAGTATTGAGATGAAATGAATATTTGACATATTGGTGTCAATTTTTTAATAATTCAGCTTATATTGGTTAATGGCAGGGCATATTGAGAGCACACGAATGGGTACCGTTATCCTACAGCAGTCTACGTCCTTTGTGAAGGGTGGCACAATCGACACGATCTACAAATTCCCTGTACCTACTCTGGGAACCGAAAACTGAACAATGATTCCTATATACTTTCAAATATCCTACATACATAATTCCTAAAAACCACACAAAGACGCAAACATATCGTCTTTGGTTTGAAAAGAGTACTTCCACGACCCTTGCCTATGTAGTTTGAGACGCTAACTCCTATGCCACCGAGTGACTATACTATACAATTGACATTTCCACCTGTCGTCATAAGGAAGCTTGCGACATCCACGTTATAGCATCTATAGGTCTAGTTACATCAGAATGAATGGATAGAATGTGAATGAGAGGCCTTGATGGAAGATATGGAACTACACGCACTGATTTTACTATGTGTCAATAATTGTATACTCATACGTACTTGTCGTAGATGTAGAGCAGATACTTGGATAAAGTTCGTAGAGCATCAGCGTGCAACAAAAACGAGATCGGTCCAGTATCGGCGACCAGAGCCTGCTCTACTCCGTGGAACTGGGACTTGAACTCTGGACAGTCGGCTCGGACCTAAAGTGAATAAATATATTTAGGAAACTCCAGAAAGACTCCAGTAAAGCTACAAAACATTGAAATGGACAAAACGGACGGATAATAACTATTTTTAATACGCTTTTATTAGCTTCAGACGTATGTATGTTAGTATGTAACGGAATCTTTGAACATGATTTTGAGCCCCTTCAAAAGGTCGGATTGACTCGCTATTTTTTAGTTGGATTTTCTAAAAAAGCGTATTTTGTTAGTTTTTTTTAAACTGTTATTTATTTTTCATTTTTTAGTTGAATTTCAATTTTTTAAATATATTTTTTTTAATATTGAATTGTCATCGGTCCTTAAAAAGTATACCTTTGAATTAAAATATTTGTAAGAAAAAAAAATTTGTAAAAAAAGCGTGGGGTGCATGGTATCAGTAGTTATAAATATGTTATGAACAGATATGAGTAGAAGAGTTATTTTGATAATATCCTGAAAAGCACCCCACGCTTTTTTACAATAAAATCATTTTTCTTACACTATTTTTAATTCAAATTTAATAAATTTAATTTTCTATTTTTAGTTGAATTTTCTATAAAAGCGTATTTTGTTAGTTTTTTTAAACTATTATATTTATTTTTGGTATTTTTGGTACTGCCCTAACTTCATCTGAGTATTCGCAATTCATTCATCGAGTTATGTACAGACTGTGTCATATACACGATAATGCGTAGTACACAAAACTATCGTTGGTCTTATGTAAAAGTTTCTAATGTTCAACATACGATGACGCGGGCGAATTGTTCCAACAAATATGTACTTATTACGTCACACACAGCGAAAGTCTCCAAGGAGATATTTATTATGTTTTGAAACTATTTGATAATAGTGAACGCTTCAATCTACATTGAACAACATTGATCTTTACTCGTTGGATACTGTATTTTACAATTGAAGTTTCAAATTCTGAAATATCCAACAATGATATTGGCTACAACCAGGACTCAAAGCTGTAACGACGTGGTATAGTAAGCCAACAACAATACAAGTGCAGTAAAACTACTTTGAGTCTAGCCTCTAATGAAAATTTTACCTTTCTGTAAATCAAATTCAAGAGTTCCCCAGAACTGGTGATCAGCTCCAAGTATTGGCCAGTAGCACTGTGATGCTGTTTGTCGGTGAGCAGCATCTGCCCGACAGAGAGCTGGACTGCGGGGCCGTACTGCATCAGAGCCACGTCCAGGCAGACCTTGCCGATACTCAGCATCACGTATGGACGCTCGGACTGATCGCTCGACCGGGACAAATTAATAACTATTTCACCTGATCGGAAAAAACGAACATTATAAACAGTACAACAATCTACGTCTACAACGTCTACAACGCAAATGCCGCCACCCACCTTAAGATATAAATTCTAGGGTCCCCGCTCAGCTACAACAGCTACCCCGCCCTTCAAACTGAAACGAATTACTGCTTCACGGCAGAAATAGGCGGGGCGGTGGTACCAACCCGTGCAGACTCACAAGAGATCCTACCACCACTAATGAATTCCCGAAATTTTTGCATCATATTCTAAGGACACGGCTTATTTGATGGCAACTGGTTACTATACAAACTGAGTTGCATTGAAACAATGGCTATTCTTCGTACATGTAACGATATCACCATTATTACAACAGGTACCTATATACCAGTGGCCTTAATCCATGTGGGCAAAGACATCAATGAAGTGCTTTTAAATATCTCCCCATACTTACCAATAATAAATCTCATAAGAGTGTTAATGTTATTTGAAGGAGACACATTGTCGTCGAAACCAGGAAGATCCACGTATCTCGCGAAGAGCTCCATGTCCTCTTCGCTCTGCTCTGTGGAGCTGAACAGTGGCTCTGACTCCTGGAAGCCAAGTTTCGCGCTTGCCTTGTCAAAACTCGGATCTGATACCCTAGAAATAAATATTGGGCATAACTATGTGAATTCTCCCGCTGAGGCCGAAGCCCTACTCTTCGAACCGGAATGAGCAGATGCTTCATCGCAGATATCGGCAGGATGATTGGCGATATCTTCGCGTGCGAGCTCAGAATACCACCGTTAATTACAGTACCTTTATACAATTTTTCAGGTTTAATTTTTATTACATTTATTTTATTGCTTAAGGATGGGCGAGCTCACGGCCCACCTGGTGTTTAGTGGTAATCGCAGTCCATAGGCATCAACAACGTAAATGATACCAAACACCTTAAGATTTCCATCTCTTTGCAACTAAATTTCCATGTAACATACCTATTCCTTCTCAAATAAGCAGCAACAATCTTCTGCCTTAGTTTAACCAGATCACTGTACCCAGGATCTGCCATAACACGGTCCGACTCCAATATTTCCATTAGCTCGGGATCCACCACATCCTCGGCATAGTCGCCGGAGTCCATGAATGAAACAGGCACTGTGTTAGGTATCGGTATCGGCAGGTTATCACAGAAATCCAGCAGGTAGCCAATTATCCGATCGGATAAATTCAATTTGAAACTAGATAGTGATATGTTTAGTTTGTATCTGGAAAGGAAAAGTAATTGTCCACAAGTAAAAACTGTGTTGCATCGCTTCTGCTTGATTAGTAGGTACTATCACATGAATTTAGGTTAAGAAATCAATCCCTCAGACAAACAACAAGACAGAAACACTGTCCAAATCCCTGTGGGCCGCGTTGTACTTTCATTTAGTTTACATTTATTTATGTACAGAATACTTCCAACTACTATCTCCTTTGTTCTATTACTCTTGTCAGAGCGGTCGTGGACGTCATTCAGTATCACTGCTGTGGGCAGATGTTATGCGCCTCACGAGCGGTCGCCACTTCTCCCGGTTGAAAAATAAGATATATAATATATATACTTAATATATCTCTACTGTAAGGTCTTCTTATATCTTCTCTATAGACCACAGAGTCGCGGAGCTTATTGCGCTAGCCCCGCGCCGTCTTAGTTACTTCTTAACCCTTTGACTACAGTGTAGGTCACCGATGCCCTACGCGACGCACTGAAGTAATTATGTCTATTTGTGCTACTAAATGCCTGGAATACCTAGCTTTGCCTTCTTGTGTTTGGTAATGTATGATTTAGTCTGTTAGAAGTAGATTCAATCTCAGTATGTGTGGATTCGTCGTTCGCAGAGTCTTTAGGTACTCCGGCGCCTTAGTAAAAAGATCGAAGAGAGAAATCGACATAATTATTTCACGTAGGACACCGTGGCAGTCAAAAGATTAAGTATGCCAACCGGCTTAAAGCGCACTGATGCCAGGTGATTGCGAGAGCTCACAAATATTATAACGTATATTCAGTTACCCACCTTGAAACTTCGGGTTTGTATAGTACATATTTACGCAAATAAACTTTTAAGCTGTGAAAGTAATTCATAAGCGCACGTATTAGACACGTATTTCGTTACAACAATATGGATGATTGAATCTGTGCACCCGACTGCGTTATCACGTCCTCCTATCAGTACACCAGGTGCCTTATTATCCTTTAGGCCGCGACCACTTCACGTATTTTATGTTTAGGCCCGGTTTTACGACCAGCCATTTGGCTAACGTTAACCCTCTTTCGAATTTCCAAAGCTCTCATTAGCGTACGACAAAAACTAATTGCTATCAAAACCCCTACCTCGGCAACAACCTGTAGTCCTTCTTGATGCTGTTAGAGAAAACTATTTGCATTTTGATCCTCGGAATCAGATGCAGCTCGGAGTCACCGTGTTTTCTTTGCTCCCTCCACTGATCGTCCCAATCACAAAAGAGGACCTTGATAACATCACAGTTTCGTAAAAATACTAAAAGAATGTATCGCAGAAAAATACGTCTAACAATACTTTTAGTGGTATCAAGAGATTTTTTTCTTAAACTTAATGTTCCCTTTCTCCACAGAAATTATCACTAACTCTTGTCAATTTTGGTTCCGATAAATCGCATCGTCTGGCTTCGTGAGCAATTATATTTAGACTGCTTCTAGTCTTATAAGTTTTGGTGAAACGTTCATGAATTAAAAATATTGCATATAGGACGATATCTAAATATTTACTGGTGGTAGGACCTCTTGTGAGTCCGCACGGGAAGGTACCACCACCCCGCCTATTTCTGCCGTGGAGCAGTAATGCGTTTCGGTTTGAAGGGCGGGGTAGCCGTTGGGTACTGTACTTGAGATCTTAGAACTTATATCTCAAGGTAGGTGGCGCATTTACGTTGTAGATGTCTATGGGCTCCAGTAACCACTTAACACTAGGTGGACTGTGAGCTCGTCCATCCATCTAAGCAATAAAAAAAATATATGTCTGCAATTAGCTAAACTAACACTGGACAACCTGCTGTCGAGCAAATCTAAGATATTCTCTTGCCCTGTTGAATTCACATGTCTAATAAGCTAACTGCTATGGCTCATTCTACCAACCTGGCACGTGCATTCAGCATGCAGTCTATCATACAGTCGTTCTTCGAGCTCCATGCAGGTGGCATCTTCTAACGTTAAGTTTGAAGGTTGCAAATCTGACTTTATTATTATCCTACTAACGTCCATTATCATCACTCGACCGGACCTGGCAAGAACGATCTCACTGTTTGGTATGAACTGGTTAAAAGTAATAGAATAGTTATCGAGTAGAAGTCTCTTACTTATGTATGCATCCATGCTCTGGTAGCACGATACATGGTCCTTTGATGTCCATATTCAAGTGGAATACCTTTCTCCGGCTGACGGCATATGCCAGTACGGACCTGCTAATGACTCCGGCTTCGATGACCGCATGCGAAAACTCCTCCGCCAGCTCATCGGAAGTCATGGAGTGGGTTTGGAAGAAATTGATCAGCTCTGTAAAGGCATGCTGGAAAAACGGTTATATTTTGAATTTAAGAAAAACATGTAGTTTACGCTGACGTGCTCACAAACTTCCAGTTAACCTCAGGTGTGTCGTTGTGAGCTTCAAAATAATTGCTGAATCTCGAAATATAATCTACCAAGATTCATTTTTAAAACTGTCAATATAATCAGAACTTTTTAAACTTACTATCTATACTAATACATATTATAAAGCTGAAGAGTTTGTTTGTTTGAACGCGCTAATCTCAGGAACTACTGGTCCGATTTGAAAAATTATTTCAGTGTTAGACAGCTCATTTATTGAGGAAGGCTATAGACTATATAACATCACGGTAAGGCCAATACAAGTGGACCACCTTCTTATATAATTCAAAAATATTTTCACTTTCTACGCAAATGAAGTGAGGGTAAAATTTAGCGTTATGCCAAAGTAACTATTCCACGCGGATGGAGTCGCGGGCAAAAGCTAGTTATTATTTATAATTAATTTAACTTTCGGACTTCTGGTGAAGGGCTTTAAGTGGATACCACTAACGTCATGGCTTCTGTGGGCTTCAATAACCTCGTAACATATGAGAAGTGTGCTCTTACACCAGTGCAAAGAAAATATACATTACTAGCGTACCTCAATATACAATAACTCGACCGGTTCTAGCAAACAGCACAGCGCATAATCAGCTTCCACATTACTCGGATTCTTCTCGAAATCAACAGCCAGAAGGTTTGTACCGGTCAGCGTGGTCCCTTTCTCAGCCGTCAACAGTGGTACTAAATCTCCATCTGATGTTACGCCTTCAATCACCAGACTTTCGGCACGGGCAGACAGCTGGAAGGATCATAACCAATAATAGCATAAAGAACGTAGACTATTCCTGTTCACCAGATTCCAGTACCAGATTGCACGACTTGAACCAGTCGAGTTAGACTCCAACCATCAATGTTGCAGACCATGGGGCGTGAGGTGGAAGTCTCCGTGTTTGGACGGCTGTCTTCGACGACTTCAAACACAATAGATAATATCTCCGCAGCTGATTCCACACCAGTCCGGGTTTCAATATTTAGTGACCTTTGCTTGTTCGTCCAAAATTTGCCACTACACTAAAATGTAGGGTGGTGAAACAACATACCTTATACGCTTTAGCCGAAGGTCGAGTTTCTAACGAGGCTAAGAACTGGGTAAGAGTCACAACCAGCACTTCTTTACTTCTGTTCATGAGCGTAAATGAACAATTCGCTAGTGTTAAATTTATTTTGTGTTCTGTAAAGATTGATAAGCAACATCAAGTACAAAGCTGGGATTTCTTAATCTGTTTGGTTTCCATCACGGGTGTTTCATTGACACAACAATTCTATCAAAGCTATCCAATATCACAAGAAACACATATCCGTCAGAAAAGTTTCTAAATAAAGATGAGACATGAGCATTGTGAGTACCTACTAGCTCTCGTTATCTTTTTTGTATGACAGTAAATTAAGCCCGCGTTAAATTTACAATTCAGAAAACAGAAGCATGTCTTCCCTGAGTAAATGGTTGTTTGAAACACTCTCTGGTCCATTAACCACCGATCAATTTGTAAATCCGTTATACGTAAAATGAACCAGCGACTACATCATCTTATTTATTATAGCAGTAATACCCGGCATTGCTTGTTGGGTCATATCGTTTGCTTTATCTTGTGTATTAATCCAAGCTATAAACTATCTCTCTGGGGTTTTATAACCAAATCCCGTCAACCAATTTACGTGGTTGAGCCACAAACATACTAATGTTCATACTTAATATATAGGTATAGATGCCATGTGTCACGGCTTTAATCAAAGGATAAGTATGCTTAGTACGAGTTTTTTAACGTTCTCGGTAGCGTAAAAGTTAACCCAAATTTGTATGGTGTTGGAACAGCGCCCCTAGCAGAAAACGTAGGCAAACACTCCAACTCCATACAAATTTAGTTAACTTTTACGCTATTGAGAAAGTTAAAAAACTCGCACTAAGCTCATCGGTCCTCGGCCAGCTTTAGCATAAAATAATTAACATATCTTTCTTCTCTTAAAATTCATATAAATCGTTTACTTGCCTATATACTGTTTCGATTTATCTTTACTAGATGTCCCTTCAACATAACCAATCAGTTCACAGNCTCCAACTCCATACAAATTTAGTTAACTTTTACGCTATTGAGAAAGTTAAAAAACTCGCACTAAGCTCATCGGTCCTCGGCCAGCTTTAGCATAAAATAATTAACATATCTTTCTTCTCTTAAAATTCATATAAATCGTTTACTTGCCTATATACTGTTTCGATTTATCTTTACTAGATGTCCCTTCAACATAACCAATCAGTTCACAGACTTTCTTCTTTTCAGGGCTGGAGAGATGGCTCCAGAGAGTCTTACTCCTCTCTGTTTTGACACATAGTTCCACATGAGCTCTGGATTCTTCTGGCTCGGTATCGGTTGGAGACGAGGGCTTCCACCAATCAAATTCAGTCTCCACTACTTCTATGCGATCTGGTTCTTGTGACAGAAGCTGCGATAAATTGTAATTAAATTCTTGAATCAATAATTATACTATGCCTTGTGCTAAATTCGGTGTTAAATACCTTATAAAATGGTATCGGTGACTAAAAACAATTTCGGGAACATTAACTAATATGGAAAAGACAATTGAACGATGTTGGATTAAAATGATTCTTGTTGATATGTCATGTTACAAATACAGATCTGCTAACAAATCAATTAGTGTAAGGGGATTACCTTATCGAACCCCCTCGATACACGATTTTTTTGGGCTGGAGGGCTGATTTAATTTATGTGGTTTCCGCGCCTAGGGAACGTGCGAGATATATGGGTCCTGATAGTCCAATGATGTTAGGACCAGACCACGGACCAAACGATGTTTTAAGGGCCCTACCCACCAAACGCCCCCTTGCACTCTCTCACCCGACGTCCGATCTCCGCCCGGGGTTGGAACCCAGGCAGAGTAGAAGGTTTCCGTCATCAAAAAGACAGACCAAGGACGCCCAACTGACTAGCCATCTAGGCAATCGTCGATGACCAACAACGGCGATCTAGCAGTACGGCGCCGAGAGGGAAGAAGAAGTGGAAGAAGTGCTATTCCTCGCCCGTTCCACTGCCTCTTTCTGCGTAACGGTGTACTCGCAGAAGTCAAACATCACCTGTCAGAACTCGTCGCTGGCGAGCATGGTAGCTACGACGGTCGGCAGCGATAGGTTAGGTCCTATCTTTACAACGAGGACGCGGCGTTGCTCCGCGAAAATGACCGAGGCCATCTCCTCGAGACACAAATTATCTTAAGACTTTTAACCTGTTTTTTCATTTTTATTAGTTGCGGCACATACCTCAAATTTAGCCTGTTCTCGCGCAATCACAACAGATATAATGGGAAGACTGTCTTCACATTTCTGCAGATCCAACTTCAGTTCGGTATCGTTGGGACTTCTCAAAGTGCTCTTGTACGTTTGTTTGTATATGTTATAGTTATCGCGGTGTTTCTTTATCGCTCCCCAAGTGTAAGGTCTCACGCGTTGCTCTACTACCACATTGAAAGCGTAACGCCACCACTTTTTAATGTCATTTGAGAGTGGTACACCAGGGTGAAGATGACGATATTTTCTGAAATTTTTGAATTACTTAGTAAGTCATAAATTGACGAAATGACACAAAATCTACAACTATGCAAGGCTCAATTTTCAATTCAAAAGCACTACTGTCAGAAAGTCTTCTATTAACTTACTTTTGTTTAACAATTCAAAGACAGCTAAAGATCTATACAGTAACAGAAAATTATTCAAGATAAGCGTTTGTCCGTTTGCTTGAAAGCTCTGCATCTCGGTAATCTTACCTATTCAATTTGATTCTTGCGAAAGAATCAATCAAATTCTCTATAGATAAATACTGTCGCCGCGACAGTTGTAATGCACTATCCTGCAGTACAGCATCCAGCAGGAGACGTGGAACACGAGCTTCTCCCGACCGGTTAATTAAAACCTTAACTTTACAGGTCACAGGTTTGATTACTGGAACGAATTAACCTTATTTGTTGTATTTTGATTCCTCTTTTTCACTTAAAGTGACTAAGTAAATTTACTACTCCTTTAGTAAGCATTTGTGGCAAAGGCAGTGGCTTACCTCACACTGCCGAAATCCACGAATGACGCTGATCACTTTTTATTAAATGAGACAGCTCCTCATTATCATTCGTAACAGTAAAATACAAGCTGACACCGACTACGTAAAGTAGTGGTGCGCATGGAATGACGACTTATTTACGAAAATGCAAGAAATACTTTATGAGCTCTAAGTAACAAATATCCAAATAAATATTATTATCATTTTCTGACGAATCTGAGAATGTGTATTGAATGGTACCAACTTTTCTAATAAAATACGTACTTAACAAATGTTCAGGATTTGAAGGTGGTGAAGGAGTTATTCCTCGTGTAATAAAAACCAAACCCGCAAATTCGTTTCTTCTCAGTTTATTAAAATCTGAGATCCTAGTTTGACCATTGGCTACTAAAATCATTATACTTTCAATTTTCCGTAGTCCTGTNTCTGAGAATGTGTATTGAATGGTACCAACTTTTCTAATAAAATACGTACTTAACAAATGTTCAGGATTTGAAGGTGGTGAAGGAGTTATTCCTCGTGTAATAAAAACCAAACCCGCAAATTCGTTTCTTCTCAGTTTATTAAAATCTGAGATCCTAGTTTGACCATTGGCTACTAAAATCATTATACTTTCAATTTTCCGTAGTCCTGTAAAACGTATCTACGGATTTGTGTGTGAATAGTTTTCCTGTGAACTATTCAAAAGCTCCCCTAAAATCTACAAAGAACTTACAGAACTCGAAATCTTCCCGATGCATGGAGAATTTGTCAAGACCCGTTATCATGTAGTGCTTCCATGTGTAGTACTGGACAGGAGTAATGTTGGCTGTCTCGTTATCGTCCAGGGTAGTGGCTGTCGGATTCCAGTATAGCGAAAGTGACTCCACGCGCATCATTTGATAAACTGTTGACGCATTTTGAGCTGTCACAGATGGCTTCCACTTGCTGAGAGTAAAATAATCCATTAGATTCTCTATTTGAGAAAACCAATCGAGACTATACTATTTAATATAAATTACGATTTTATATGCTATAATATTTATGTAACTATCGATTCCTTAAATTACCTGAATTAAATTATCTTTTTACTGGTGGTAGGACCTCTTGTGAGTCCGCGCGGGTAGGTACCACCGCCCCCTGCCTATTTCTGCCGTGAAGCAGTAATGCGTTTCGGTTTGAAGGGCGGGGCAGCCGTTGTAACTATATGGGTGGCACATTTACGTTGTAGATGTCTATGGGCTCCAGTAACCACTTAACACCAGGTGGGCTGTGAGCTCGTCCAACCATCTAAGCAATAAAAAAAAAAAACCTGAAACTAGATAAGGTGAAAAGCAAACATTAAAATGGCCTTATCAATTACGCCTTGATAATGCTTAACCTTAGTTGGAAGAGACCTTAAGAAAGACCTTAGTTCTTGGTATTGGTATTGCTATCTCTTAACATAATAAACAATAGTGTAAATAAACCAAAAAAAATACGCTTCTAAAGAAAAAAATTAAAAAAAATTGAAATTCAAGTAAAAAATAGAAAATAAAGTTTAATAAATTTGAATTAAAAATACTGTACGAAAAAATGATTTTATTGTAAAAAAAAGCGTGGGGTGCTTTTTCTATTTTTTAGTTGGATTTTCTATAAAAGCGTATTTTTTTTAGTTTTTTTTAAACTATTATTATTTTTAATTTTTTAGTTGAATTTCAATTTTTTTAATTTTATTTTTAAATATTGAATTGTCATCTAATAAGTATGCCAAATTTCGAGTTAATCCGACGTTTTGAACGTCAAAATTATGTTCAAAGATTCCGTTACATACTGACATACATACGTCTGAAGCTAATAAAAGCGTATTAAAAAGGCTGCCTAGCTTCCAATTACTAAACACCTTAAAACTCACCTATTTGTTGTTTCTATAGACAAACTCTGCAGACACAGTCCACATGCCAGCGGGCCATCCTTCGAGCTGATCGAGTCCTCATATCTCACGTGTACATTTCTTACATAAATTTGTATGTTATTCACGATAGCAGTGAACAAATGCTCGAAGAAATTCCTAGGGCCTTTCAGAACCTCACTCTCCGCTTCTAGGTCCTGGAGTATTTTTCTTTTTGCGGCTCTTGTAAGCCTTCTTTCTCGTTCAGGGTCGAAGTAGCTGTTGGATATCGCTGGACCTACGAGCAGCAGTACGTCCTCGACGTGGACCACAACAGGCTGAGAGTAAAGACCAGTCCACGGGATCTGCAGGCTGATGCGACCGATCGTACCAATTTTCACGTCAATCGGGAGATCGAGTTCGTACTATAAGAAGATGGATTAGTGTTCAATAGGAAAGCTTCTCCTAATTTGTCCACACTAACTTCTTTTTTATCTACCTTTTTATTATAACCGAAGTATACATAGCATCTTTTTAATTTATAATATTATCGTTTATCATTCACAGTATCATTCACCAAAATAGGTAGGTAACTTCTAAATTAAAATTTAGAAGTTACCTACCTATTTTGGTGGGTACCTTTAGGTACCCACCAAAATATAGACACAAATGATCTTATTCACAAGAAAATTCAGATGGTATGAGTCGATAATAGTTAAAACAGCATTAAGCATTTATGAATAACACTTTTTGATGATATTATTATAACGGACTTATTAAGCTCTGATAAATCATTATGAATACGACCACAATTCACTGACAGTATGTGTGGTGAGGCAACCATATATAGTAGGATATCATCACATTTTAAGCTCTCGCTTTCTCATTCTCTGCTGTTACAGACAATGTAAGGTTTGAACTAATTGTTTAACATCACCTGTCAGTCATCACCCACCTTGCAACATGAAGTCGAAAGGTACTGGTTATTGTAAATAAATAAGTCAATTGTGTGGCTGTCTCAACTTTCATACCGGAACGCGTGATTACTTCGCGGCAGAAATAGGCAAGCTGGTGGTACCTATCCGGACGAGCTTACTATACGGCCTACCACCAGTAAAAAACTAACTTGTTGTCGCTCCTTTTGGGATGATCAATTATTGTTCTCATGGGTGTTATTTCATCATCAACTCACCAATGCCTCTGGTTTGAGTTTCAGGTCAGTCAAATTAACATTCCCCGAGAAGATGCCGACATTAAGGTTCTCCGTATCCAAGTCCTGAACGTATTTCCCGAGCAGCCGGTTCAGAAAACCGGCCACAGCGCCTTCGAACATGGTGCCTGTCTCTTAAAGACCTAAATGAAATGATACAGAACTTGTTAGGTTTACCCTTTAATATTTGTGTTTATTTGGTGAATGCATAACATTTCGCGTCTATCTTCATGGTTAAGGATGACCAGGGGTTGCGACTTAATATTGAAACTTTGGAAGACAAATTTTATCAGAATTAAAAATAAATATAATAAATTCACTTATAGTACTTTCATCGGTTACATTATTCATTATTATATCGATATCATCTTTTAAGAATAATGGATAATTGTATTTACCAGACAGCTTGTATTAAGTCCAAAAACATTATCATAATATTCAATACAAACAAAAAACACAACATAAATATTTTAATAATATAATCAATATCAAAAAATCTTTATATAATATATGATTTAACATACCCTACCCAAGTCAAAAACATTTTAAATCATGATTTTGTGTAAAAAATTCTAATATTCGTAATAACAAGCACTGAGTTATTGTTAGCAACGTGTCAAACGTATATAATTGAAATAAAGTGTGTGTGGGTGATATGTAAACATTGTTTATTAAATTGTTATCACCGATAACGCACAGACATAGATACATACCTACTGATATGATTAATATTACTTAATGTAAAGTTTTACAGCACGTAGACTCACACCAGACCAATTTTCGCGTTGGGCAACTTTGTTTTGTTTGGCAGGCGAGGAAACGAACTTAAATGAGCTGCCAACCGTGAACATTCGTGAGCATACGTAAATCTATGAGTTTTATAAAATGGTAGCCCTGCAATACAGTCTTTTACACGGGACTTTTGCTGAGTTCTTTTGAAATGGAACTAGAAAACCCAATTTCCATTGAGTATCCGATTTCATGACTGCTGACGAAGCATGCGCGTGTATGACGTTAGGGATGTCGCTTAGCGAGCTCCCAACATCATGTTGTTTGATATTTCGAAATGAATTATGTAATGCAATGGAAATAACTTCAACCTCATATCTCAGGGCAGGTGGCGTCACACATTCTGTCATGTCTATGGGCTCCGGTGTCCACTTAACAGGAGGTGGCCTATGAGCTCGTTCACATTTGAAGTGGTCACGGTATAAAGGATAAGATGACTCCAGTGCATTCGTATCGAGCGATATGAGTGTGTCGGTGTTCGAATCCCGCAGACCGGTACCAATTCTCCTAATGAAATATGTACTTACTTAACAAATAGTCAGGAATAACTTCCACCATGAACGAATAACATCACGTAATAAATCATCAATTATCAATCAAACCCGAAAAACTTTATTTTTGCGTAACTACTCGCGATTGGGCGTCTTTTGAGCCCGCGCGGGTAGGTAGCACCACCCTGCCTATTTCTGCCGTGAAGCAGTAATGCGTTTCGGTTTGAAGGGTGGGGCAACCGTTGTAACTATACTTGAGACCTTAGAACTTATATCTCAAGGTTGGTGGCGCATTTACGTTGTAGATGGTTATGGGCTCCAGTAACCACTTAACACCAGGTGGGCTGTGAACTCATCCACCCATCTAAGCATTAAAAAATATATATATATAGAATAATTTTTAAAATCCAAAACCTATCCAAACACAAGTAGGAACGTTGAATAATGTGAATTAGAGGTCCCGCAGTAGTCGAAATTCGACTATAATTAATTGGAATTGTAAGTGTGTACACTATAATGATTGTGTTTTATACTTCTACAATCACAAATTTCGCCAAGGCTACACTATAAAAAATATTAACAAAGACAAACAATATTGAATCTATTCTCAATTTGACAACAAACGCCAAGAACAAAAGTTTGACAATAAATAGTATACATGCGTGCGTGCATCAAATACATGGTATGTAGTGTGTGTAATGTTTTCTTTATTGATTTAATGTATCTTTTATGGATTAGTTTAAAAAAAATATTAGCATTGTGCACTTCTTCTCTATATTCTCTATAAGTGTGGAAAATTTCATACTCCTCCGTCCGCGCAATTTTCGTAAAAAGAGATACAAAGTTTTTGCTTCACGTATTAATATATAGATAATAATATCTAGAGTACTGACAGAAGCATTTCGATTCGCGATCTTCATTTTATTTTAGTCTCTTATCGATCGACCTCCATTAATTAGTAAGTAGCTGCTTACTTCTTTACCCGTCGCTTACGTCATCTAAAGTTCAGCTGTGTACAAATCGGCTAACAGAACGCTTGTAAAGGCTGCCATTTTGATTCGCAACAAACGATTGAACTTTAAAATTGGAACAGGATTATTTTGTTTTCATCAAAGTAGTCGATAAAGTAGAAGTCAATAATAACGCAAAAAACTACCATTCCGTTATAGTGTTATTAGACTAACGTTCAAAATAAGACATCTGATTCAATCATAAAACGGAAATTGGAATAAAATGAGAACGAACCCTTTGAAGTACGAGATCTTTGGAAACTAACAAACTACTGTCTACGAAGATGCTAAGGTTACTAACATAGTTAAAGCTATCATCGCATTGTAAATGACAAGATATAAGGTAATAAATTATGTTCTTTTAGGCAGTGTCTTTACCAAAATATAAATGTCAGTTATACATAACTGCTACGTAATGCGATTCTCGATTCGATTCTCTCAACACTTTTTGAACCAGACTGCATGAATACTACAACAACACAAACTGGTCCGAAACATCTTTAATTATAATTGATCTGGGGTTTTTATTATTATTTAATTATTATTTTTAATAGTTTTTCTACCACGTTGACTTCGAAAACTTGTTAGACAATGATTTCTAGAGATTACAATACATATAATAAAATCAATACACCACTCTTACTTCTTACTATGAACTTAAACATTATGGTTTAATGAATTAATGCAACGGATTAGGTTACTACCGTAACATTCTTAACATGTAACCAAAATATTATTTTAAATTTTCTGCATTGACATGCCCCTTATTTGGTTGACGGGGTATACCTACTATTGGGTAATAAAGAAATAGGTCGTAGCTAGCGATATGACTTGACCTTTCCCGCTAGTATATCTATCTACACTATGTGTGGATATGGACACCGAGGGAACTTGAGGAAAGTATGAACCTCATTCGGTAATTCAATTTCGATTGCTGCTCTTCCTTTTTTGCGTTCGGGAACCTTCATAAAATTCGTAGTAATTAACAGTAAAAATAAGCAAACTAACCCTGCAATATAATAAATAAATATAAATATTTACTAACAATCACGCCACGTTATCTGGTCCCGTGATAAGTTCGTAAAGAACTTGTGTTACAGGTACCAGATAACGGAAATAAATGTAAGATTTTTATTATACGCATACATATATTTAATATACATAATAATATATATAATATATCTGAAGCTATATAGCACAGCAGTATCTAAGTTATTTTGATTCGGCCGTACATCAAGTCCGCCGATTTAATTATTCCAACAGACAGCCGAGACGCAATAAAGTCAGCGCCATCACACAATTACTGCGTTGTACCCTCTCGGATCAATGAAGTTAACGTTAATCGCTGGCTCAATCAAGATAAATAGAAAGTCTCACTGAAACACAGATTATAACTCAATTTAATTATTTCGATACTTAAGGTTAAGACTCAAAATATCGTAATTCAATAATTATTCGGTTCGCTTCGGTGATCAAGTGTTTATTATGTTCTTTGATGTCGTTTTTGCAAACGATTTTATAGTCTACACTACATGTCAAAAATCAAACCCGCAAAATTATAATTTGCGTAATTACTGGTGGTAGGACCTCTCGTGAGTCCGCGCGGGTAGGTACCACCACCCTGCCTATTTCTGCCGTGAAGCAGTAATGTGTTTCGGCTTGAAGGGTAGGGCAGCCGTTGTGACTATACTTGAGACCTTAGAACTTATATCTCAAGATGGGTGGCGCATTTACGTTGTAGATGTCTATGGGCTCCAGTAACCACTTAACACCAGGTGGGCTGTGAGCTCGTCCACCCATCTAAGCAATAAAAAATAAAAAATAAAAAAAGTCTACGATTTTCTCAATATTAATAGTAGTTTTGTTATCCTGCTTGATATCTATTCCTGTTCTTTGACGACAGATAGCGTTATTCGTACCTGCATAACGTTAATATTAGTGTGTCTCATATGCACATGAATACTAATTTATTTATTTGTTTTATTTACATCAGATTTTGCATCCATATTACATTAATTAACAAAGCCATTTCACATAGAATACCAAAATTAAATAAATAAATTGTTGTTTGTGCAACAACTTCGGAATAATATAAAAATAATACAACAACAAAAAAAGAATGTCAAAACTACCGTAACTTAAAAGTGGTTTTGGATCCAGAGTGCTCAACATGCGCAGGTGTCCAGTGTTGCATTATTGGGCAGTCCAGACCCATCTGCGAGGCGAACAGCCGCAGGTAGCTGCTGCGACTGACTAATACTATTTGATGTTAATTTACAGAGACCGGAACACCAGAGAATTATAAAAAATAATAATTCCGGGTTTAAATTTGATTAGACAAGTTAAACTTTCATCTTCGAAGCCGTTCATGAACTCGCCTTACGTAGGGTCGTTGACGATCATAAAACACATTTCAACTCGGGTAATAATAGAGTTGTGGATATCGGCGAGTCGATGACTGGTAATTAAATAATTACAAAGAAACATTAAACTATCAACTTTAACTAGTTTTAAATGGTACAACGGTTCGGTAAGTTATGTTTCCGACCGCAACATTACTGCGTATTCGGTTTTATTGTCCGGCAGCCGGACGTGCGCCCTACCTGGTCTGCGATTTTATAACGCCGAAAAATAAATATAAAGATACTAACTGACCCGGCAGACTTGGTAGTGCGTCAATCGATAAATAAAAGACCTAAGTTTTTGTGTAAAATAAACTTAAAACAAACAAAAGAAATCCGTCCTACGGGGGACAAATGAAAGGAAAAACAAATTTGTTATTTTTATTGAATTCCGAGTATTTTCATATTTATCTAGGTACCTTTTAAACCTTCTCTGAACTTCTACAGATAATTCTAGACCAAAATTAACCAAATCGGTCGAGCCGTTCTCGAGTTTTAGCGAGACTAACGAACAGTAATTCATTTTTATATATAAATAATATTATATTATTATATAGAAGATACATTTTCGGAAATGAAAATGAGTTGGCTACCGTTCCTGGTACCAAAATATAAATGTCACGGGCCAGGGCGAGACATCCGATTGTGGTTATATCACGGCTGTCATGCTGCACCAGTCTTAAAGTCGAGAGCTATGGTACCGGTTCCCTTACACTTTCAGACAACTACTGCCAAAATGAAAATGGGAACACTGATTCTCGTTGAAATGATATGTTTGTATCTTGTTCTCTCAAATACTAAGGACTATTTCGTTAAGTCCTTAAAAAACTAAATAAGTAATTATGTAGTCATTGATCGTAGCATGAAAATAAAAGATGAAATAAAATAATTTATACATTTTTGGGTCGTGGTAAAAAGAGAAAAGTCAAGACATCCGAACTCCCAAGTATTTTGTTAAACAATGACGGACAGAATTCAATGGCACGTTTCTTGACGCGTTTAAATAAATCTTTTAATAATAAGCAGGAAAACACGTACAGTATAAATGTTTAACGTGTGACTATTGTTTTTTGACATTCACACTTGACGACCTTTTGCAGTTCAGGTTATATTACTCGTAGAAAGATTATAAATTACAGTACTGACCTTATAATTACATGTTATTCCCAATCTTGATAATGGCTGTTAAACTGGTGATGACGTCAAAGGGACCGCACCGCGGCCGGGACCAACAGGACTGACTTTGACAGATGTCAACGCGAGTCCCGAGCATGCGTGTTGGGAATGGAAAATTATGGGGAAAACCGAGTGAGTGGGTGGCGTTCGATAATCTGCGCGCTGAGACAACTCCCGAAAATGTCTCTAATCTCATCTATAAAATCAATGTTTGTTTGTTCGTGTTTGATGCGCTGCCTTAATTAATATCTAATTGCGATCAAATCTTGTCAACCAATAGGTTGTTTTGGCGCGAAAGCATAATAATATAAACGGGCGACAGGTAGCGCGCGAGTAGCTTATACCTACATATTTGTATTGAATACATTTAGTGATATTCACAGGGGAACGCGACCGGGTTTCACTAGTATAGTAAAACATGTTGCTTCACTCTCGGAACCTTCTAAGCTTTTAGTTTGTTATCAGGACAAGGAGGTAACATTTGAACGATCTCTTTGCATTCGTTACTTGATTTCTTTTCCTTAAATAATCCTGAATGCTGTAAAATCAATTACATATCGCAGCTTTAGAATGATGTGGGAGAAGCTATTACAGACTGCCCTAGACCGATGTAATTGGACGAATTTTATTCGAGCTCTACACCCCAGCAGAGGGTAATAAGAAAGAAAGAAGAAGAAGACCTTTAGAAAGGAGGTGGCTTAACAATTTTTTAAAAAAAATTGAGTATTATACTTCGAACGACTTATAAGCATTTGTATTCAATCGGTTTATAAAATTAAACAGTCTCTTTTAGTCCAGAATAGGACAAACGTACTATTTCGCCTTTTTTAAGCAAACACACACCTTAAAGTGTTAAAATCGAAAAACTAAAAAAATACAATTTTTCAATTACTTTTTTGGAGTTTACAAAAAAATAAGAATTTTGGATTAAGCCGCTTCAATTCTAAAGGAATGGTTTTTTATTTTTTCATCGCTTAGACGGATGGACGAGGTCACAGCCCACCTGGAGTTAAGTGGTTACCGGAGCCCATAGACATCTACAACGTAAATGCGCCACCCACCTTGAGATATAAGTTCTAAGGTCTCAAATATAGTTACAACGCCTGCCCCACCCTTCAAACCGAAACGCATTACTGATTCACACCAAAAATAGGCAGGGTGGTGGTACCTACCCGTGCGGACTCATAAGAGGTCCTACCACCAGGAAATTTAGGATAGGAAGGAAAGGATATGTCCCTTAATCAGTGTCACTGCTTGATTAGTTTCCAATGTTTGTGAGTTTGTTAATTTTGTGTAAATTAGGGTCTATGTTTGATCTATATACCGCAGATCGTAGAACGACGTGTACGACTCAGCAAGAATATTTCTAGGTATTTGTCAACGGGCACAGCTCACGACACACTTATCAAAACGGTACTCACTACATAATACTCTTTACAGTTGAATACTGGTTACTGGTGGTATGACGTATTGTGAGGCAGCACGGGTAGGTAGGTACCACCACTCTGCCTATTTTTGCCGTGAATGCCAGTAATGCGTTTCGATTGAAAGGGTGGGGCAGCCGTTGTACTGTTAAAACTGAGACCTTGCAACTCTTCTCTATATCTCAAGGTAAGTGGCAGCATTTACGTTGTAGATGTCTATGGGCTCCGGTAATCACTTAACATCAGGTGGGCCGTGAGCTCGTCCACCTACCTAAGTAATAAAATATATAAACCTAGTTGAATAGTCGTATAGTAGTTTTAATTGCTCAAGAAATCCGATATGTGAGTTATATGTATACCAAGCCTAGTAGGGACATGTTAAGTAGGCACTCATTAAAGATGAACACATTAAGTAGGTACACAACACCTAATGGACAGTAGCCGGATGTAAATAAAACATTATGTTTAAGTCAATATTTTATTTAAACACTGTTATCGAAATTGATTGCTGCATTTATGCATTGTTCTGAAAGGTGTTCTGACGTCTAGACATGATCACGGCGTGCGGGGCAGGGCGAGGCACGCGTTACACGAACCATTCGGTACTGATGGGGCGAAGCACCGTTCAGGGCAGACGGGACAGGCGCCCGCGTACTGCCTCGGATACACGCACTGCTCCGAAGTCGACCATTGGGACGGAGATGCGAACTAAACCAAACAGCATAATGCATATTTGTTCTTTAAGCGACTACACTAAAAAATAATCAAATCCTACAATAATAGATAGGAATTTAAAAACGAAAAAAATTAATGAAATAACCTACTGTTAATAAGTGATCCAAATCAATTGATTTTTAAATTAATTATTACGTTATTACCTTATGTTTTAGTTTAATTATAATTTCGTCAACACAATAGAACAAAAAATATTGCAAAAACTGAGTAAGACAATGCTGATTATTAAAACCAAAACTATGAATTGAACACTTTTCCTCCCACAAACCAGATCGACTAGAACCAAGACTATGATTTGTTTAATTGAACGTGATTACGCTAAATCGCGGTTTCTATTCCCAAAATCGAATTTGAGAGTTGAACTTTTTATAGAAAATCAACCAGATATTGATTTTTGCCCATTTCTCGCAGTTCCGTAATTATCCGAGCATGCCCAGCCAATAAATCCCTTTTACATACCACACTACTTACTTTGATAAAGCTGATCAGAGCACAGTGTATAATGTCGTACGCAGGACAGTTCGTATCAACGCCCTGCGGCTTCAAACTGTCGGATAAACAAGTTGTCTTGAAGTTCTGAACCGCTGCAGACCAATCGGGATTATCCTTGGCGAACTGTTCGAAATAATCAGAAACCTTCTTCTTGTCTATAACGTTGTTCTTAGCCCAGCCGGATTCCTTGAAGATACATCTCGTTTTGTCGCACTAAATAGAAAGAAGCATATTATTATTTTTACTCTAAATCACATTTGTGCTTTGCACGTGTGGTTATCAACATCGTTCCAAATTCTGTCGTCATACAGTAAGTAATACGTGTCGGTTTGAAGGACAAATCAACTGTTGTATTAACTTTGTTGATACTTTAGTATTGGGAAGAAACCTACATTCAACATTAAGTCCTTCACAGATAATTTTGTCGGATACTTAAAGCAGTAGGTACATATCTACAGCAAATAAATATAATCAATTTTGTTCAAACTAAGCACGTGAACAGGAAAAGTGAGCCAACTTACCTCGGAAATAGGTTTGTTACATTTTTCCGATACTTCGGGTTGAATTATCTTAGGGTTGCCGAGACACGAGTATATCTGTAAATTTAGGATGTGTTTAGGATGGAGAGTGTATATTACCACAGTTCACGGTAAAGAGCAGATTCTGATCGCTGCCACAATTGCATTAAGGGATGCGAGTTGAAATATCATTAATTCTTTTTGAACCTGTTTTGGTGTGACATAATTTGGGGGTAGCCGGTAGCCTCTACTGGTGTAATTTCTTTGACAATTAAAGTGTAATAGGTGACTTAACTGACTGTTTCTATGATACGCTGCCTTTATTAATCAGGGCAGCCAGTGTGCAACAGGGCTAAGTTTAGACCATACTTTGTGTTTTTCAAAAGCGCAGTTATAAAGTCTCTTCCCCTTGCTTTTGTGACAATAAGAATACTTAACAGACGCCTTACAACAAGAGTTTGCGTAGAAATAATGCCACCATAGCGCTAAACCATAGAATAAAACAGTTCAGACTAAACATTTTTGGATGCTTTAAACAAATCTTGATACTACTTCTCGCTACTCACCGTGTTTGGCAATTCCCCACAATAAACTCGAGGCTGTTCCGGGATGTTGCCGCTTAATACCTGATAACGAATGTTCCTTTTATATTATATCTAGAAATTATAATAGGTTTTTTTATTGCTTAGTTGGGTGGACGAGCTCACGGCCCTCCTGATGTTAAATGGCTACCGGAGCCCATAGACATCTACAACGTAAATGACGCAGTAATGCGTTTCGGTTTGAAGGATAGGGCGGCCGTTGTACTGTAAAAACGGAGACTTAACAACTCATAACTCAAGGTAGGTGGCGGCATTTACATTGTAGATGTCTGGGCTCCGGTAATTACTGAACACCAGGTGGGCAAGCCATTAAAAAACCTGCCTATTCTGTAGTTAAAATAATGCATCCCGTTGATAAGTGCGGTATGGTTGTTATTACAATTAAAACTTTGACCTCGTGTGTCAAGGTGAGTGGCCAAATACGTATTCTATTGTAGTGTAGTATATATCAGTTACGTAATTTGTAATAATAAAGGAGTATTAAACCAACACTTGATCAAGACAGTTGTTCTCATTCGAACTAGAAACTCCCTTAATGGCGACCCTGTCTTGTTTTCATTCGAACTAGAAACTTCCTTCTATTCCTTATAACTTACAATCTCATAACAAGAGGCCAGCCGTCCCCTAGAAACTGCACTTAATTCTTAGAAACATTTTAACAGACCAAAACTTATTTACATACACCAACAACTTCTATTTGAACCTATTTGGAATTGAAGTAAAACGACCTTACTTATCAACAAAATTAATTGTTCCATATCTGGGCAATGTTTTGTTTACTATTTACTTTTATGCTCTTTCGCTGGTTCCTGTAGAAATTCGCTTTAGAAATCACTCGATGCGTACCTACCTAATTTAGTTCAAATAGTACTCACCCCGACAACGATGGGTAATAAAAACAAAATTGTCAGCATCTTGAGCGCGCAACGGTCTCGATATAACTAAATTATCATGCGACGTGATATCACGAGTCGAGCGTCGGGGCACCGGGTCGTGAGGTCCGATTAGTAAATTGGCTGTCAACAAACTTGACGGCCTTCACACAAGCGAACAGTTTTTAGTTTTTTATTGCCTTCGAAGGCACCCACTGAGTTTCACGCCGGATCTTCTCAGTGGGTCGCGATTCTGATGCGGCGGTAGATTCTGCGAAGCACTGCTCTTGTTAGGGCTAGTGTTAGCAAATTCTCTCAGGTTAGGCCAGTGAGCTCACATACCCGTCCGGTTACGTAGCTGTAATAGCCGCTTAGGCTACCAGCGAATAATAATGATAAAGCCCTTTAATTCCGAATTACGTGTTCATGATGCAATTTAACATTTTTGTGTTTATACATTTTATTTCTTATATTCTATGAATATATTAATATATCTCGCAGTTTGGCGTGCCACGTGGCATAGGCCTCCTCCAACTCTCTCCATTGAGCTCGGTCCCCTGCAACTCTGGTCCAGTATGGTCCTAGGGTTAGACGTATATCGTCACTCCATCTTGTTTTCGGACGCCCCTGTCTTCTGATGTCCCCTTTTGGATACCACAAAGTTACTTGTCCACTTTTTTTTTGCAACGTAGCATATGTCCTGTCCAACTCCATTTTAGATTATTTAAACGAGTTATTATATCCGTCACTTTTATCTTACTTATTGATGTGCCTTTGGAAAACATACAGCATTGTATTATGAAGAAGCAGTGTGTACTTAGCTTAGATTCCTTGTCTATGTCCAACCATAGACAGTCAATTTAGTTCCATCTTTAGCCGCTAGGTGCTGCCAGCAAGTATAAAGGGAGCGCAGCCATCTTTGATCTTCATAGCGTTGTGTACTTTCGTACTGTGAAGTCGCAAGTCCACNGTAAAAAAGTTCCCCCTGGTAGATTCCAGGACAGTAAAGCAGTCGCTTATTGTTGGTGTCGAATACGCACGTACGACCACGCATCCGACGGAAATTATCTTAAGTCTTCGCTATTTGATTAGTACGTCAATTACCGGTTTATCAAAACATAATTACATTTTGCATAAATGCGTATTCTGGAACTTAACTGTAACTATTTATATCTTGAACAAAATCATAAATTAAGGATCATAAGAATATTTTTTTATCTTTGTCGGGGGCAAATGAGATTGCCCGCCATATGGCAGACCTGCCGCAGGTGCACACTAGGCCCATAGTCATTAGCGACGTCAGGGCTCAGCCAGGACGCGGAGGCTTAAGGAACTGTCATAGTGATAACGAAACTTGAAGGAGTTTATCAATGACGTTGCAAAGGCCGGACCAATCTTAAAAGCAGAACGGGTGCGTGCTCACAATACACGTCGTCACCGATAATAACACAAAAACATGTTTTTGGGATAAATTTTTATTACACGGTATTATATCTTAATTATTGTATTTCTTTTGTCATTCATGGACACATCCTAGAGAGATTTGAGCTCTGCATATCCACGATACGAGCACACTGGACGTCTTATAGACAACGGACGCTGANTCTTAAAAGCAGAACGGGTGCGTGCTCACAATACACGTCGTCACCGATAATAACACAAAAACATGTTTTTGGGATAAATTTTTATTACACGGTATTATATCTTAATTATTGTATTTCTTTTGTCATTCATGGACACATCCTAGAGAGATTTGAGCTCTGCATATCCACGATACGAGCACACTGGACGTCTTATAGACAATGGACGCTGAGTGACACAAGAAGCAAAACAAACACACATTACATTAATGTATCAATCTATGCACTAGTCACTAGTGACTAGTGTAATCGCTACAGCTCGAATACGCTCAGTTCACACACACACAGACACCATAACCTTACAGAACTAACGACGACTTATCTTCAGGGTTCATATTTATAAAAATAACAAAAATAAATGTTTTATTTATCACAAAACTAAAAGAAATCTCCTTCTTTGATCGCGAAGAAATCCTTCTTGAGCATCGGCACGACCTCATCGTCCTCCGTGCACGTTGGCGTCTTGTTATCAAAATGTGGGTATTTGGGGTGCCACCAGTCGTAAACGTGCATGTTCAGAACTGTGTCCAAAACCACCGTGCACTCCGGCAGGATGTCCTTGCCGACGTTGTAGCTGCCGGTGTTGAAGTCGAGGTACAGGCGCTGGTGGATGGCCTTGTGCGAGTGGACCATGGTCACCGAGGACAGAATCATGCCCATCAGTGGTGGGACTTCGTGGAAGTTTCGGCAGGTTACCTACGATACAATAAGACGAGGTCAACACAGTTTGAAATTTAGTGGAAGGGTAGCTTGACGGGACCGTGTAGCTGAGTATGCGTTAGAAGGCGCAATGTGAAGCTAAACGGTGCCATCTCGTATGAGCGATTCAATAGGGACTTTGCCAAAATAAACAAAACATTTTTCAATGCATGGCCTGCTGAAAGAGCTCGCAGATGGTGTTCAGTGGTCGTAAAACTTTTAGACGTGTGGTCTATGTATCAAATGTAGTATGGCTGTCCCACCCTTCAAACTAACACACACAACTGCGTCGCAGCAAATAGACCAACTTAGTAGTACCTTCCCGTGCAAGCTCACAAGACCCACCACCAGTAATTATGCTAATTATAATTTTGTTTGATTTTTGTTACACGATGTTGTTCCTTCACTGTAGAAGTCGTTCGTGAACATGAGTTAAGTACGTGTTTCGTACTTACCGGCTTAACGGCTACATTATTTCATTTTTTTGTATATTTTATTCATTGAATAATTTAAAGTGACCTTAAGTCCATCATACCTGCAGAACTTGGGTGTCTTGGTCAGGATTAGCGTCGATCCTGCCCAGCTCCGTGATAAAATCCTGTGTTTTAGTACGCTCTTTTATTTGGAGCTTCTTAAATTTGAAATAAACTGCCCAAGACACTGAAGATCCCTTATAAAACCATACGCTGACGCACCTCCTGCGGGCCAGTTGATACGCCCGACCTTCTGCTGTCATCGTTTGAACTTTCTTCACGAACACGTCATATGTGTGATACAAAGCCCGTATCACCCTCTGGCGCAGTCCGTACGTTTGGTAACTGTTCTCTATGCGCAATCTATCTGGTAAATTTGGGTGATTTTTACAGTACCTGTTGTATATGGATCTCCAAAACGACTCACGCTTCGTCAGAGCGTAGGTCGTTTTGTTAATACCGGCAAAGTTGCCAATATCTTCCGGCTTGATGTACTGGGATAACCAGTACCAGACGATTTCGGGATAAACATTTCCCGGTCTTTCGTTAAATTTATCTTCACATTGTGAATGGTTCCGTTTCTTCCTGCTCACTAAGTTCTTTGAGCCATCTTCGCCTAGTTCCTCTATGATGTCATCAACAGCGTCTAATTCGTCCCAAGTTAAATCAGCGGTCACTTTCTCCGCTTTCGTTAACTTTAACGGGTCGGTGGGCTTGGCATCTTTTGGCTTGACATTAACTGGAAAATCTGTAACAATCAAACTGACCTTGAAGGGATTAAACTGCTTCGTCCCTTCCTAAAGCATTATTAGCTACACCAATTTTGTATTACAAACAGTACTGTTTGTGCCATTCACGTTAGGTATCTAAAATAGAGTAAATCATCGGTTCACGTGGTTTCTTAACCATGGAAAATTGTTTAATTTTTCTTGTGCATATGTTTAACATATTATACGGTTATTTTTTACTGTTTCCCAAATAAAGAATTAAAAAGGTTCGTCGAACATCACATACAGCAGTGTGAAGTTCAATTACGAATATCGTGCAGCAATATTGACTAAGAATCTACTATCGAACCGAAGTTATATCTCTCGAAGTTTCGCCATCATGTCCTAGGATTTATGTCAAAAAATTTACAAAACTAACATGATCAATTAATTGGTGAGCTCAACTTTAAGTTACATGCTGGCACCGACTTTAGTTGAGACGTTGCATTTTTCGCTCGCGATTGTCATTGCGGATAGATATACTCGACTTTTTCCTAATGAATAAGACGCCCGGTACATATGTATCAAGCTATGCGATTGAGCCTGTGTTCACATCTCGCAAACAGGTACCAATTTTTCTAATGAAATACGTACTTAACAAATGTCCACGAAAACCTTCCGCAATGAATGAATAACCTCGTGTAGTAAAAATCAAACCCGCAAAAAAAAATTGTTTGCGTAATTACTGGTGGTAGGACGTCTTATGAGCCCACACGGGTAGGTACCATCATCCTGCCTATTTTTGTCGTTAACCAGTAATGTGTTTCAGTTTGAAGGGTGGGGCAGCCATTATGCTGCAAAAACTGAGACTTCAGTCGCATGCCTCAAGATAGCCGGCGGTATTCAGGTGGTTGATGTCTATGAGATCCGGTGACCTCTTAACACCAAGTAAGGCCTGAACACATCCACTCATCTAAGCTAAAAGGAAATAAATAAAAACGTCTTTGACTGTTTGATGAAGGCCATAGAACCATTTCTCATTATGATTTTCTTTATTTCTAAGGTTGGATACATAGCGTGGCCCAAATATTTTACACCACAAATACCACCACCCAATTTAAAATATGAGATCAAAGTCTCAATTGTTTTATTCAATAAGAGTGACTGTCCCATTCTTCAAAAGGACAGAATGAACAGGTCTTCAGTCCCACGACTAGCGGTCCTCTCAGTTGGTGTTCTATCTAAAGCAACACCACCAACTCATATCCCCAGGACACTTAAAAATGTAGAGCAACAACTATGTCTCGTTTAATTTAAGCTCAAATGACTTTTCTTAAACAAAATTAGGTTATTATAATTTTGTGCAAAAGTATTTTGATTTAGAATTTTTTTGGATATGTATATTCAATTAATATAAATTCAAATACTTCAATTTCCATAATCTGTTCTGTAAACAATAATTTATTATTATTATTATTGTTGTTGTCCAACCAGTATTTGCTGCAATTTTAGGATTATGGTATTTTAAATATTATCCAAAAAAAATTTATGATATATTTTTTACCACAAATCTCAGCTTTTTTATTAAGCATATTGATTCAGAGACAATGTTTTATTGCACAAACAGTTCTTTCAAACAGTTCAGTTTTCAAATAGGCAAGTCTAGTTAATAGTTAAATCTTTTGTGGAATTTATTATAATGAAATTCTTTAATGCAAAAAACATATTATTAATGATCTTTGTAAAGAACAGCCATGATGAAAAATTTATAACTTCAACAGGAAACATTTTTATATACCGAATAATTTATATATTTTTTTAAATCTATGACTAATATGATCTGGCTGACTTTGACCTCCAATGCCTATAGATAAATCTTCTCAAAATCACCAAACTAATTTGAGATAGGGGTATAGATATTTTTGTGTCCTGTCGATCTATGATCAGACCTATGAACAGAGGTTGGCATATTCAGGCAACAGAGTAACTGAAATAATTTTTAATTTTTCATGTATATATTAATAGTTACATCAACTTCATTATCTATTAAAGATAGTAACTGATATTTCTAACAATGAAGTCAGATATAGTTTTATATGATAAAAACGAATATCAGTTAAGTTTATACTTACATTAATAAAAATAAATGCATTAAATATATAATAATAATTTGAAAACAATAGTAGTAGGAGAATGGGACTTGAACAGATCTACCTTCAAGAACTTTCTTCTTTTGAGACTTTTTCTTCCTCATTTATTCCACTACAATTAGAGTTTTCTGTTTGTAAAACTATTCGATTCAATTTTTCATTCAAATGAAACACAATTACCGAATAGTTTCAAGATATCCGGTAAAGCGAATCAATCAACATCAACTTTACTTATTTTGGTGAAAATAGATAAAAACATCAAACTTTTTTTTCACTTGCAATATGTAAAACAATCATTTAAAAGAATATGTACCTATTTTATTATGTATTATATATATTGAATATTGATTAAAATAATTTAATAATTCGATCATAAATTTATCGGCTGATTCAATGACCCATCTTAGAGTTTGATCTCAGAGTATGAATTTACTGACCTCTAATCTGTTAAACTATTACTAATTACTGCATAATAATAAATAATTCATCTTAAATCATTTAGAGTACCGACTAAAATTTTCTTAATGTTGTATTATTCCAACCTGGAAATTAAGTATTCAAGGCAATATTAAAAAGTACTTTTAAGTGGATAAATTGTTAATAGCCGTTTCCATAATATTTAGTTTCTTTTCATACCTATACTTACATATCGTACCTATTTAATTTATTTAACGGTAGGCAGCGGCTTCCCTTTCATTGCTGAAGTCCATTGGTGACGGTAACCACTCAACATCAGGTGGGCAGTATGCTCGTCTGTCTACAAGGACAATACCTACTAGTATAGAAATTGTCATATGTATTTTTTACTTGTATTTTTTTTACTTGATATATTAAAACTAGTAAGTCTAATAAATCAAGGACGGTCTGAACTAATATCATTTGGCTCGTGGACTTGTGCATCTTTCAGTGAATGCAGATGCTTATGGGGCCAGGCAGGCTATGTGGGACTTGATGGTATGCAGACGTTGGAAGTATACCGCGGACCCGAGGATATTTTAGGGCTCTACTCATCAAACAATTCCTCTTGCATTTTCTCACTCGATGTTCGTTCTCTGCCCAGCGTTCAGAGCCCGGAACGATTATAGGTTTCCTGCGTTCAACATTACAATCAAAATCGCAGGGCTATCCCGAGGAAGCTCGATCGATGGATGGTCAAGGCGATGGTCGATTAATCTACGTAGACCATCTCGGTACGCCACCCTGTCAGGCCCCCCCAGGGCCCAGGTGGTCCCAGTGGTGTCCCCGGATACCCTACTTGATCTCCATACCGTCCCATTTAGATTAAGTTGAACATAGATGGAAGGATTTCGTCAAGATTTTGCTACTTTTCGCGTAAAGGGCTATGTGCTCGCATTTCATATTACACGAAACAATTCTAAGCCGCATCAAAACCTTAGATCAGTGGTTCCGCAAATAGCGCATAGAATTATTGAACCCTACTAAAAGCAAAGCCGTGTTATTTCAAATAAGGAACTCGGCGCAAAGTTTTTCTAATTTGGATTTTTTTTTAATATTTTGAAGTTTTTTTAAATAATTATTTGAGTTAATTTTGATTTTCAGTCTTTTTAATGAATTTCAAAATAATTAAAGCTTTTTATACTTAGTTAGACTATACTTTTGAAACCGAGACTAGCTTCGTCTTTATACTACAAAGCTGTTGATTGTATAAGTTTTATTCCCTTTGCCGATCTAATCGGAAAAGTCAAATAAAAAAACTCCTTCATCTGAATTTGACGGATTGACGTTCCATTCCAAGATGGCAGACATGCCGCTTGTTCCATGATAGAACAGAATCGTAAGAATACGATATTTAGGTGTGTCTATTTAAATACCGAACTAGAATGTCTCCCGAACTTTTGATTAATATTTTATACGAATATTCCGAGTATGTGAAACCGCTTCCCCGCGTTACGTGCGCTAGATTTAGGTAACGTTTGTGCCGGAACATATGCACTAAAACTGATCGAAATCGTGTTTTCTGTGTGTCGTGTACCATAGGTCTTCTGGTTTAATGTTAAATTAAAATGTGGAATATGATGTGCGACGTGATGCCTACGATATCGGAGGACAGTATCAGCCAGCGGAGTTCGCAGGTCTCCGGGGAGGATGCGAACTTTGAGCAACTGATGGTGTCTATGTTAGACGAACGCGATAAGTTGGTTGAGAGTTTGCGAGAGACACAGGAGCGGCTCGGTGACTCGGAACTGCGCCTCAAGGAAGTGGAAAAGGAGAGGGATGCCCTTCATAGACAGATCGCCGCCAACCTACCACAGGTTAGTGTCTCCTTCCTATCTTTAGAATGTCAATATGAGTTTCAGCTCTAAAATTTATATCTTGTTTAAATAAAATGCGAAGAACCACCTATCTTAAAAGGTCTCAGTCCAATAGCTCTTCACCGAAACATTGTCCAACTCCATTTTCCAATATTTAAAATCATCAAGAGATTATAAGTAAGTTAAGAAAGTTAGGATCTAATTATAATTGTTTAAATATATTTCAAACAGGTTTTAGTTATTTATTCTAATTAAAATTAATACTGAATAACTTATTTACCAGAAAAAAAAAACTAAAACAGGATGGAAAATGTCAAATTTTGTTGTTTTCTTTAAAACATTTTTGTTCAATAACAATTTGAGTATCATATCAACTTAAATACTTACTGTATTTAGTGAATTTGAAATCTTAATAAATAAATAAAAATCGAAAGTTTTTTTTTTATTTGCTATTTCATATAAAATCCGAACAATAAATCAGTACTTTATTACTGATACTTAGAAAATATGTTTCACTGTTTTGCAAAAATGGTACTTGAATGGTATTGTAGGGAACATCTAGTACACTATAAGAGTATGAAATAGATGTAAAAAACTAAACAAAAAAAGTATTTTATTATCCATAAACAAGACAGAGTCAATTGATAAGCCATTTTGCTCTTCAAACCATTCATAATGCAAGAAAGCTTTATGCCCAAAATAGGTAGGAAAGTGTAATTTTTTATATTCCAGGAACGGTTACTGTTATGGTTCCATTGAATTAATGTATGTGGCATGTTACTAGAAGTTGATGTTCTTCACACTGCAATTAAGGCAGAGTGTAATCAGGTTCTATTCATTAAGATATAAAAAGTTAAACATCCTTCTTTGTGTACAATTAAACATAGTTTTGATAAAACTTTTCTACATTAAGCAAATCAAAGTGAAACAGAACCACTAGGTCAAGGATGAAGTTATAATCGTTGCTCATCCACTGGAACATTATGATCTGATATGTTACTCTACAAGACCGTAATGAAATCTTAGAATTAAAAGATAAATATCCATTATTTAGCTTTATATTAAATTATCTTAACACACATTGTGACCTTGAGTGGTATAGTACTTTCACACTTGTCAGTTGAAAGTCATCATATGATGCAATTAGGATCTTATGTTTAAAGTCAGTATTTACAGTACCTATAGTCTTGGGTGAAAACTTATCTAGTGTCCTTAAAGAAACCATCAAATTTTACCTCTATCACTGACATTTTCCAACTTTGAAGATTATCAATCACCATACATTAATAATTGGCCTACATTAGTTTCTCTTCTTCACTTATAAATTACACTTGTATTTTTTTTTACCTATTGTACTTGTCAAGAAAAGGGAAGACTAGAGTGGTATACTAGAATGAATGTATTTTCCGCATGTTTAATTGGAATCATCTAATTGTTCTACTCCAGAAGCATTGGTCCTTATTGGTATTAGTAGTTTTTTTTTGGATATAACAATCATCTTAATTTTCGTGTCTACCAATTTGAACTAAAACACATTTGTTTGTCTTAATTAAATCTTCACTTGACAGATCACAGACGCAGTCCTGTGATTTGCAACAAAAATTATTAAATTAACAATTTTAGAATATTCAGTTTACCACACCCTAGTTTTCGTTAAACAAAAATGTTATGTGCTGGTTGGTGGGTGTTGCTAATTTCGCGCAGCGGATGATAAAACTGTTATCAGTAAGGACGTTCTCATACGAAATTAAGCTTATCAACGGTCTTGGTTGAAACATGCAATGTGCATTAAGGACAGAATCACTGTGGCGCCTGGCGTGTATCGGCCGTGTGCTCTGAGGAATTGTTAGAAATGATCTTGTCATCTCCATTTCACCATCGGACCGCCCGTCATCGGATAGTTCACCTCTGGTAATTAGATCCTTTGTACATTTGAGGAGAGACCCCACCGGCGTGCTGCGACTTAGGTTTTTTGTTATAATAAAATTGCGTTTGACACGGGATGAGCGCTTTAGCTCGAACTGCCCTAGCGCCTTTGAAATCTCCATTGTTTCTCTACAGAGAAAGCTCTAAACTTTAAAGCCACTCATTAAAACATTCTTCATTTTTCATTGTTAGCGGAAAATGTAATAAGGTTGTATTTACTAAACAGTTTCTAATAAATTGCTTGAAGGTGTAGTAACTGTATGTTCCCGCCACACATTAGATCGACTAGTTGGTCAGGCCATTAGTAACTCTGAATTCTTTGCCCACTGAATTCATCGCCGAATCTTCTCAGTGGATCGCGATTTCGATCCGGTGATAGATTCTGCGAAGCACTGCTCTTGCTAAGGCTAGTGTTACGAATTGTCTCAGGTTGAGCTCGTGAGCTCACCTTCCCGTCCGGCCGTAGCTGGAATAGCCTCTTAGGTTACCAGCGAATATGTAGAAAAAAAAAGCTGATTTCTGTACTGTGAGCCCGGCGATAGCCGTTGGCAATATATTTTTGCTAAATATACTTTGTATTTAGGTGACCATAACGGCATGGGGCCGTTTAATATGTAAGGTTCATATTAATTATTGCAAAAACGAAACATTCAGTAGCACATTCGTCGTGTAGCGAATATGTTTGCATTTATAAGGCAAATCGTTATCTGCATTATGTCATAGTCGCACGTTCCACTTACCGCTGATACGTCTGACACAGTAACTAAGTCGCTTTATAAACACAATCGTAACGTTCGTGAACTTGAAATGTATTGTTGATGACCTAAACATTAATACATTCATTATTGTTATTTGTGAATGGAATCTAATTCAATCGCTGTTCGAAAAATATTTGAAATTTTGGCGCGAAAGTTTCGTTTTATGGCTTAGTAAAATGTCATTAGATTAATACGTGAAGCAAAAACTTTGTATCCCTTTTTACGAAAATTGCGCGGACGGAGGAGTATGAAAGTTTCCATACTTATAGAGAATATAGAGAAGAAGTGCACAATGCTACTATTCTTTTAAAATAATGCATAAAAGATACATTAAATCAATAAAGAAAACATTACACACACTACATACCATGTATTTGATGCACGCACGCATGCATACTATTTATTGTCAAACTTTTGTTCTTTACGTCTGTTGTCAAATTGAGATTAAATATTGTTTGTCTTTGTTAATATTTTTTATAGTATAGTCTTGGCTAAATTTGTGATTATAGAAGTATAAAATACAATCACAATAGTGTACAAACTTACAATTCCAACTAATTATAGTCGAATTTCGACTACTGTGGGACCACTAGTGTCATTAGATCTGTCATTTTAGAACTACAATGAGGTTGTTCATTAAACAAGAAAAATGTTTTATGATGATACAAAACTTAGAAATGCGTTAATATTTGATTCAGATATTCCATTTTATAATACATGAACCTGCATGTGGACACAATTGAAAGCGCGTAGGACATTATCAAGATTGGTTCGTTGTGCAAAAACCGTAAAAATCAATAAAACTATATTCGAATTACAATTTTCGACGTGTAACATCCTAGAGGTCAGTGACCGCGAAAACTGATCAATTTTAAAACAATATTAAACTGTAAAAGTGTTTTAAATCGTATCACTGATTGAAAACTGTGAAAATAATTCTATTTATGTCTGCGACTCGCGAAAACCAAAGAAACTAATAAACCATAAAACTCTCCGCAAACATTTTAAAATTTAATTAAACCTATCCCCATTCTCTTGAAACGTCGGATATTGTGTAAGGTTCCTTCAGAGTAATATTTAACTCGATGATGTTTTCCGTTTTTTATTAGCCTACGCTAACGGCCGTGTCATTAACAAAGTTATTGCTAAGCTGCCAACCGTGAACTGTGGAGAATAAACGTAATTATTATTTTTAAATTCTACGTGGGTCACTGCGGCCTAAATGAGTATTTTTGTCTAGTGAGGATCTGTCGCTCAAAACTATTCCGTAATTTTTCATGGTTTACGGTTAAAGACAGTTACTCCCACGGCCTTATACTAGCGGAATTCTTCTTCTTTGTCTCCACTTTATACCACTAGGCAGGGTCGACACAGCGAATTTTTCTATTCCATCCTCTTCTATCAACCGTCATCTCAACACTAACTCCCCTCTCTCTCATATCATCATTCACATACTCCATCCATGTGTTCTTCGGTCGACCTCTTCCCTGCACTACTATTTCCATACATCTCCTAGTCACATAGTCATACTAGCGAGATTCATAACGCATAAATATTAATAACGCCAGGAGGTTTTAACTAGTCCCATATCGTCCGCTAATTTAGCTGCCCTCTAGCTCGGAGATATTGTTATGTTTGTGAAAGGTGAAATCATCCAAAAGGTCTTATATTTCCACTGGTTCACGTTTTGAAACTGTTAGCACTGCATAGTCGCATTTTCATTGGTCGTCATTAGAGCTGGACAGACTCCTGAAACGTATGATATAAGATTATTCTTACATTACCTGACTAATAAATTTTCTGTTATCGTTGCGAAATTTCCAACGATTGTACTGTATGATTAGTTGCGGATCTCGGTTACTTGTTGGATTCATTAGGGCGGCCTCGACTGCGTCAAAAATAAAATGACGATTTCTTTCTCGTGGAAAAATTTAATATTATTTCTTTGTACAAAAACTCGGCGTTGTCTCGCAGCCGTCGGTAAACCTTTTTATACATCAATGTTTGATTTTAGCTATTCGTTCACCTATGAGCTTGAAGAATGGTACTTTCCGAATAAATAGGCGGCGGTTCCAGAATCGGCGAGAATGTAAATTGCAAATCGCCTGAAAAAATCAACACGCCCATCACAACATAATACCTAATGTTATCTATTAGTTGAAGTTGACTGATGATTAAGCAATGTATACACAAAGGTCTAATGTGCCCTGTAATAACCAGAACTCATGAACTTTTTTTTTTATGATGAAATATTATAGTTGGCCCGGAGGCCTTTCCAGCTTCACCAGGGCAGGTGGGCGAGCAAGGCTCAGCCAG